GTCGCGTGTCACGCAATGTTTACTACGTATGACTATTCCATAGGCCTTAAAGCAATTTACCTAACATTTCTAAAATAAATATATACAAACAAAAGAAAATAAATGTACAAATAAAGAAACGTGTACAGAATAAAACAAAACAGATCGTTTCTAAGAACATAGAATTATTAAATAAATGGAACTGGTTGATGTGAAAGCTTATTTGCATTTTTTCATGTCTAGGGTTTATTTGTGCTGTAGTAATTCAATTAACATTCTGTGAGTGAATTAAAGCAAATCAAGAGCCTGAATATCTGCCAGGCTTGATGCTGTAACATAACATAACATGACATAACATTTTATGGCATCTAAATTGTATTTCATTTCAATGCAATTGTGACAATTCCGTTTCATTTGCTTTGTGTGAGATATATAAAACTGCTCTTATTTATTAAGCAGATCATAAACTTCTCAGTTAAAGAAATTCTCTTTATTTGAACCATGTGGTAGATTCTATTTTTCGTAGCTGTGAAAACGTGTTGTATTTATTTAGTTCTCACCCTTACAAAGAAGATTATCAAGTATCAAGAATAAGTCATAAAGGGTGTCAAGGGCATTTACCCAGCCCTCTTGCAAAGTTTTCCAGTGTTCCAACATTCAAGATTTTCAGACTCGTATCATCGAATGAACTTCATGCGAAAATAGTCAGGCCACTAAGCGCAGTTTACGTTTTTGCATAACGTAAAAAAAGCTGTCTGCGTAATAACCTACTTGCCTTTTGAAGGCAACCTCATGTGAGGGACTTAATGTTTCAATTCAGATTGATGAAATGTTTTCCACAGCAAAGAAAGTTTTCTAAAAACGCACGCAGTATATAAGAGCTGGAACAGCAGTGGAGTAAGGGCGCAGCGGCAGAAGGGAAAGAGGGCGCTCCCTATCACATACATGCTAAAGCTTGTTCAGTCACCGCCGTTAACTTTGTGAGCCTGAATTACTCTCAACAGCGATTTGTTCTAAGTTCCGGAAAAGTCATTCTCAGGCTATTCAAAGACATTCACAAGCCGATTTCTTGGAGTGCAAAGAAGAGACAACTTACAGGTAATATTATTAGGCCAAGATGGTTCGTTTCTCACTGAGCCCGAAAATCACACTTAGAAAGGAAAAGACGAGGAAAAATAGCGAGAACAAGGAAAGTAATATAAGATTAAAAAGACGTATTGACTCTTCACTTCTGAAAGTCCCCGAGTTGGACAAATACATTGAACATAATAAACTTAGCAAGAAAGGAAAAAAAATCGACAAAATCAAGCGAATCACAGTACACTATTATGAAACTTCAAAGGAATCTACATTTCCTTCAAGCGTCGGTGTTGGTGAGGACAGTGATGAGAGTGACAGAGACAATGACCTTGTTTTGTGTGATGAAAGTGAAAGCGAAAGTGAATCAGATGATGACAGTCATACTGTAACAATACAAGAAGGCACATCAACAAGAAGTGGCCGCAGAGTAGGACACTGGCCCACAAGATATGCTGATTTCGTCCAGTGAACAGGAACTCCTTAAGAGGTATAGATTGAAGGGGGCTGGGGGTGGGTCAACTCTTATATAAAGTTATATGGGGGTGGGTCAAGAATTAACTAATGGGCTTAAAGGGGTGGGTCACGTTTTTTCTTTCATTCTAATACAAAAAAAATCCCCCCCCCCCCCACATAAATAATGACCGGTCCCTTAGTTGGTATGCGGAATTGTTGTTAGTATTAGCTCCCAGTTCTCCCAGCTAATCCCGTAAGCCTTAGTTCCCAGCTCGTTCCCAGGATTTCCCAGGACCGTTCCCAGGGCATTTCTGTTTTCAAAATAGCTGTGTCATTGACACTTTAGACTGTGGCTGGTTCCGCATACCAAAGTTCCGATCGCCCTGAAAATGGGAAAATTAAACCTTGAAGAGAAAGGCAGAAATTGCAGGATAATTGTTCCGAAAGAAGCAACTTATGCTCACTATGGCACAGAAGCTTTATTATCGTTTGCGTCACGAAATACGTCATTGTGACGTCAAAATGACGTATTTCGTGACGAAAAACGTGTCATAGCACCACATACCCTAAGTAGAAAAAACTACAATTTTGATTTTATGCAACTTTTCCCTTGCTCCTTTGACAATACATTCATTGTTCTCGCGTTTAAAATCGCCCTAATTTTGACCATATATGGTCATGTGGGGGAAAATTTGATTTCTTTTATTAGCTGTAACTTTACGCCATTTTATCCGATTGAGATGGGGTTTTCACTACACATATTCTTTTTGTGTAGCAAAAATGTGTGTAATGTTTTGAACATTGCTTTGCAAGTTTTTAATGTTGTTACTAAAAATAGGCGTCACTTAAGACGTCATAGTTTCAAGAAACGTCAAAAATACCTTTACAATGGTAAAAATTTAAAGAAAAATTTTCTTTAATTAAGATGTTTTCATGTCTTGCTTCATTTAGAATATAAAATACTGCTCTGTGAGCCAAAAATTTAATTTACGAAGTTGCGGGAGAAAAAGCCCTAGCAACCGACCATCGTGTTTGATCGTTCAACCCAAATCGTGGCTCGAAGTTTCTTATGAAAATGTTAGGGTTTTCAGCAAGTCTCCAAGAAAAATTATTTGTAATCATTTTGGATATTTATACTTAGTGAAAAATTGCATTACTTAACCTACAAAAGCAACGAAAAGAGTCTCAGATTTTCTTGCGCCCCAAATTACTAATACGCGTCCCCCTCCCAAGGACGACTCGGAGTAGGTCAACATCGATACATGAAATAGAAATTTTAAAAAAGGCCTGAAGTCATGTAACATAATTTGTGATGCTTTACCTTTTATTTTTAATCTTTGCAACGACACCTTTGTTTCCCGCACGTTATTACGCTCTCTTTACTTTTACTTCACACACCCCTCCCCTACATATTTATGGATCAGGAAGCCTCACTGAGGTAGGTAGATACCAGAGGTACTGAAATCTCCTCAACCCTGTCATAATCAATCAGTCACGGGTCGTTCGACAAAATACATGTATCAATCGAGAAATCATAAACTACTTTTTTTTTACTATGGATGGTAGCCTCATTCCTAACAAGTGGTTAGTGCCATTACTTTCTAATTTTTCACCCTGAAATAGTCTGTTCCAGGCGTTCAGATTAGAGGGACGACACAGAGATGTAAGGACAAAAATCAGCCAAGGGCGCCCCTCTCACTGAACGCCTGGACCTTGCTACACACCTAAAGCTAAAGCTATGTTCACACTAGATACCTTTTGCGCCGACACGATAAAAATATGGATAGGAATTTTGCTCACGCATTAGAACGGTGATTTCAGCGCGATTTCTGTAACGGAGCGAAGCACTTTGCCGCGCCAAATTATAAAGTGGAGTGTCACGTATCGGATAGGTATTCATACTTTTCCAGACAGCTTTTCGAGTAGGCATGAAGAGATACTTGGTATAGTGTGAACATAAATAGCTTAAGAAAAGCAAAGACAAGACAGCACGAACCGATTCTCGGCAGGGCCTTCTCACCAGTCTCCCCTCAACTAACCTCTTTTTTTCGCTTTTTTCCTCGCGAGATAAAGGATTACTAAAAATGGATTCAAGTTAGCCTATGGGGGCTCTGGTTTAAAGTGCTGGCTTTCATTCATTCAAAAAATGAATCAATAATCGTTCAGATTCCTAGGTTCAAAAAGTTAAAAATTTTTGAATAACTTTTCGAAGGGTTTTAATGTATGAAAATTGAGGGAGAGGGTGTTAAACATTTCGGGAAAATTGGAAAATACTGGATTTGAGGGTTGTTGAGATATGAAGTGAATAATAAGAAGACAAATGCCAGATAGCCCACCACTACAACAAGGTGCCTCTGAGCCTATTAGAGAACTAACTGGCAAATGTATATACCTTTATCACCCCCCCTCCAAAAAAAAAAAAAAAAAAAAAAAAAAAAAAAAACAGGAGTACTCCCTTAAGTCCAAGCTTATTGTAACCTCATTGTACAACTTACATGTAAAGGGACTGCTATGCTTTGACTTAATCACATTTGTGGAGATTTGATACAATTTGTCATTGAAGAGGACCAACACGAGCAATTCTTAACTAATTTGGTCAAAGCATCTATAAAACGGGCTTTCTTCCGTTCCTCAGGAAGATTCAGCTCAAAAGCGTTACAGATTTCCTTCAGCTTCGGTAATGTGAGTTTCTTTAGTTTCCCTGAAGCTACAAGATCACACAAGTTGTGGACATCATACATGATTGGATGTCTGGGCTGCACTTGCTCTATTACATCTCTCCGAAAGTCTTCAAGTTCTTCTTCCACTTGGACAGCTTCCTGATTTTCTGGGTCATTTTCGGAAAATCTCCCACATCTTGCCCTTCTAGAGAAAAAACTTTGAATCTGGGTCGCGGTCAATACTTTTGAAGAAGAAAAAAGTCTCTCTCCGTTACCATCTTGGCGAGCAGTTTTCATTTCTCTGGCTACAGTTACAGGGTCCAACTTTCTTCCCGTCGTTTCGCCAACCATGAACTTTTCTTCTAGGAATTTTTTCTGTTTGTCACTGAAAGGTTTGTTTTTCTTGATCGATTTCAGTGCTCAGCCTTCCTCTTCGTTCTGGTGTAAACCGCTTGATGTTGCTTGATTGCAATGGACGTTTGCTGTAGCTGAAATACGACCGTCACTGACCCAAAGCTTTTTACTGTACAAGACCTTTGCAGTGTCCATCACAGATTCTCTTTCTTCTCTGAAGTCGCATTTTTCGTAGGTAACATGATTGACCATAGATCCGTAACGGGTATAGACACGAACGCACCCTTCGTTTGGACAAGAAAACAATCTCCCAGAGGCGGTCCCCTCAGTCTCCTCTTCTTCTTCTTCTTCTTCAGTGTCGACCTTGGCTAACGTCTCCTGCTGAACTTCGTGTTTCTTTTTTCGGGTTTTTATGGGGCGAAAGTCTCCATTTGAAAACGTGGCATTCGTCATTGAACTGATAGGATATTCCGTTCCTGAAGCATAAAATAGTTAATATCAAACAGTGCCCACTGCAATAAAAAAAGCCAAACACCAATTTTCAAACGATTGAAGCCACTTTACATTGGTTTTGTTAGAACTGTTGCCTTGTACCAGAGACACTCGGGCTCGAGACACTCCACCTCGTGAGGTAAGTGCAGAAAGAAATTGCTCTGCTGTAAGGACATCGTTACCTTCGTTAACAAAAGAGCGTACATGGTTTTTCATTGTTGCTGCAAAACGGTCACAAGCGCCCTTTCCTCCTTGAGGATCGGAGAAGTCTAATTGTTGAATGAAGATTCCCGATCGCTGGCTGATGTCTTTACAGGCAAGGATGGTGTTGGCTGCATGGTAGCAGCCTGCATTGTCTTGGCGATAAAAGGCGCTTTTGATCTCAGGGTGTTCCCTCTTGAGAGTAGAAAGAACATGTTCCATTAACTGGACAACACAAGGGCTGTCCTGGATACACTTCTCAACTACTTGCACGAACGCCTGTGTTTCAAGTTCACTCTCTTTCTTTCTGATCCCTACAGTGATGTGCCAGGAGATCCCTTTTTTCGCAAACCATTCTCCTTGGGATTCTCGGTACTGACGAGGGAGAAATTTCATAGCCCAGTCTTGTACAAGGAGCACTTTGCTGTCATCGAGGCATTCAATAACGTCTGTACGGGCATTATCCTGATTAACAAGTCTGAGCTGGTGTGACTTCCAAAGCTGAATTGCTCGAGTTGCTTCTTGAAATCTGTGAAGAGCATCCTCCTTATCATACTGGCACTCGAAGCAGGATTCCTGAATTGCCTTTTGGGTGTCGGACAGAACAGCTTTAAGGTCTTCACAGCGATTGCATATCAGGTCATGATCTTGAGTGCAGGTACCTCTAAAAGCAGGATCTTTACTGTCACCTAGTGCGTATTGGCTACAGTGATCTGACACGCGCGAAGAGCTGGAAACGTGAACCTATTGTAGAAGCAAGATAGTCTCAGAGCAAGATTACGGGAGACCAGACTATTCTGGAGAATATACATAAAATATGACAGAGACACTAAACAATGACGAAAATGTTATTTTTGACAGCGCATCATTTGACAGATCGGATTGGCAAATAATTCGCCATAAAAAAAAACCTTTTCCCCACTGTATCACTCCCACTCGTCATTATAAACTCTTTAAAGTACACTCTTCTTCAAATCAGGAGCGCCGAAAGACATGGTAGATTGTGTAGGTAGAAAAATATCCATACCCTCACGGAGGGCACTTTTGTTTTAGACCCCCACCCCCTGGAATCTCTATTTCAGCGGGTGTTTGTCAAACCCCCTTCTCTTCAACCAATGAACTTCAATTACTTCTTTTCAGTTAAAAACGTGTTAGAAGGAAGCTTAATACAACATGACCACATTATATTGAATACCGCAATATATTGTGCAACAAAGCAACCCATAGATAACCAGACGTTTATTCACGAGCCGACGACAATTGTTATATAAAATCGTGCAAGCTGTAAAAAAGCACTCAGCCGACTGCAAATAAAAGATCATCGATGAAAAAAAAAATTTGCTTTGGAACACGATTGAGAGTAAAATAACTAATAGCTTGCCACCCCCACCCCCTCAAAAGTTGCTATCTTATGGACCCACCTCCCTTCAGAATTTCCGTTGCCCTCCGTGGGGGAGGGGGGGGGGGTATGGACATTTTCTGGAATTACACATTTAATAATTATATTACCATAGGTTCTTACTTTGAAATCCGTTTTAACGTAATTCTTTCCCTCCTTTAACTTCATCTGTAGGTTTTGCGCTGTACGTGCGTCAAACCCACTGTCAACAAGGTTCCCAATGAGTTGTTCCAAGTCATCAAAGGCCTTGCTACCCTCACAAACAAAGTAATCGAGACCTTGTAAGGACTTTCGCGTAGATGCCTGACAGGAGGATAAAATGCGTCGTAATGTGCTGTTGCTTAGAGGTTTCACCTCTGTTTCGTTGCAATACTGTACGTATTGGTCAATGATGTGTCCGCTGACCGATACTCTGATAACATTCGGTGTCTGCACTACTTCCCCAGTCGACAATTTCAGAAACCGTTCACCGAATGGTAAATCCTGCACGATGTAGGGACTGGTAATAAAATCCAAGAAGTGATCCAACTGGTTAAGATCGATTCTCCATCTCGGGCTTTGTTCTGCAATTACAGGCGCTCCTCGCCCAGAAACTAAAATATGTTGTCTTGCTTGACAAAACATATATTTTGTTAGGCCTGGAATGTAATTGCGTATTTCTTGCAACGTGGTGATATCCGCCATTATAGAAAGAATTTGCAGTTTAACATTTGCACTTGTGGCGTTATTGTATGATTCAGAAAGCGCTCGCAGATACTTCACGTCATCTTCTCTTAAGGCAACCTCTTTACGTACTTCTAAAGCTTCACACATGTCGTTAGAGTCCTTTACGTTTAGCCACAGTTCACAGGGATAATTTGGTGACAGTACTCGCAAAACAGCAACCATAACTTGGCATGCTTCAGCTATGTTTCTTCTTCTTGTTCTTTCTGCTGCTGTTGGTGATCCCATGTCTACGTTACGAACTGGAGCTAAGCCAGAACTTTTAAGAAATTCGTTCAACTGAGTTTTTCTAAATTCTACCACATGCGATCTCATCGCATCTGCAACTAGACTTACTCTTTCTTTTTCGACTTTTTGTAACTTTCTTCTCTCAGCTTCTATGGGTGAAAGAACCTGCAAATTTAATTAATAAGTTGTTTTAGTTTTAAAAATTTTAATCATTGGTAACCAGGGGAGTAAGGCTAAAATTTCCTCAATTTTCAACTCTTTAAAGTCAATTGCTTTTCAAATTGGTAAGATGTAGCTCGTATAGAAACAGATACCGGAAAAACAAATGTAGCTTACCAGGGAGTTGCCTTTATATCCACAATCGGTCCCACTAGTGTCTCCACAACAAACATCATTATCACCACTATTTCCGCCACTATCACCATTATCATCCCGACCACTAACAGTGTCATTTGGAGCGGCTAGAGTGCAAACATAATCACAGCCGTCATCTTCCTGATTATTAATATCAACGCCAACATCTCTCTCATCACCAACGTTATTGCAACCAAAATCATCATCGCTACACGAACAATCGTTACTACCACTATCACCAACGCCACCGGGCACTTTAACTTTGCAGATGTCATCGCCTTTACTACAACTATAAAGGCTACCCTCAATGCTATTGCCATCCCCATGGAATTTAGAAAGATCCCTAACGCCGTCATCAACATTAGCGTCGCTATAAATTCCTTCACATTCCTTTCTATCGCAATCGTCGATGCTTAAATCAGAGCACTGTTTCGTTGCATTCAAACTGCTTGTTCTCTCTTGGACTTTTTTTGTAGAACTGTCTACTTGACAATTTGTTAGTTTTTCTTCTTGACAGATTTTTTTTACTTTGCCTCTGCACTGTCGACAAATAGCTAAGAAAAAGAAACAAAAAGCAAATATCAAAATAGGCAAATATAAGCCAGAATTAAACACTTGATCCAAACGTAATAAACGATAACGAAATAACTGCTCATATCATAATCCTCAGAATTCATGTAATTGGTGTTCGTTGGCCGCGAAAGGCAGAAAAGACTAGAAGTAACGTACGTAGATGACTGAAGAGGAATCGAACGACAGCGAAACGTGGCAAAGAAAGGACGATTGCTCTAAAGTACCAGACCCTTGGATCGACTTCATGACTTAACAAGATGTTTAGAACAGTTACTAAAGCCAGCTAGTATTTCAATGAAGAGGCCAGTTTTATCACAGAAATGTAGCTTTAATCACTGAATAAAGGTGGGCGCCGTTGACCACCGTAATGATCGTAGCGAACTTAAAGTAGTAACTTAGCGTACTTAAAGTATCGTTGACTGGGAATTTTACTTATATTTAGTGATACTTACGTACTCCGATTGGTACTAGTACCCCAAAACACTGAATATCGATTCTGCTTGTAAAAAGGTGACTCCTCGGTCACCTTTTGGAGGTGGTATACCGGTGTGACCGCTAATGACGCTGGGAATAACACATCGTCTTTTGTTGCACTTCCACCGAGTTCCATACACATCGCGATGCCGGGGACAGATTGTTATTTTCTCAGCTTCTACCTCTGAGGAAAACAAACCTACAAAATATAGTAAAAAGAATATATAAATATATTAACCCACGGAATCCGTCGGTAAAGATTAGGTTGTTCAAAATAGTTTTGCAGATTACTTTTGCAAATTAGAACGAGAAATGCTAATCTGGTGGCGTGCTCTCGGAAAGATTTTTTTGGTTGTGTTACCTTTATTTGCAGACGAAATTGGTTGTTATATGTATTTGACTACAAACAGTATGATATAGTGGGAAATAATGTTGAACTAGTGCGGACATGATGTGACAAATTGAAGCATGACATGACTGCGTGTGAGTGAATCAAACGTGTGATATATTTATATTCGCAAAATACAGACGCAAAATCGGGAAAGACTCACCATTCTTTTCCATAAAAAGTGAAGTGTTATTTAGCGTTAGATAATAACCTGGACGAGGCAAGATTCATTAAAGAAGTTTTCGATCAAGATTCACCGATTTGCTTTGTAAATGTCACTGAGGGCAAACTCGGGCAATGGCCGAGCTGAAATCATTGCACATTGATGTTAACATATTTCTTCTCCATGGCATTTGCCCAATATTTTTATTCATCGGTCTAACTTGCCTATAAACAAACTCCATTCAGGTAAGGTGGTTTGTTCTAATTCGATATGGCATGGGTGATATATACTTTTCAATTTCTACTAAATTTGTCTGCATTCCGAGTACCGAAAATATGTAGTAAGACAATTCAATCGTTCCAAGCTCATGCTCAACCGTTTTCAATTAAATGTACGTAAATACAAAGTTAAAGGATAGTTTTTTTTAGCTGTACGAGTAATGGACAATTTATTTCTATGCCAAGGCCGAAATAAATGCTTTAAAAACTCCCTAAATCGGCCAATATGGCGGCCCTCGGGAAGCCCCGTCAAACCGTCATTTCTGTATCTTCCAAAGGAAAGAGAATTCAAACCAAAGAATATGCATTCAGTATTTAGGGCACCATTCTAAGACTTCATGCCAAAAATCAGCCAAATCTATGAGATGCCGTGTCAGGCGAAAGTTCGAATCTTACAGAAAATCACTCTTAAACTAAATTCGATCTCCCTTGATCGGGACAAAGGAGAGATCGAGAAAACTAATAAATCTTTAGCAATATCATAGGATACCGCCGCTAGTGTCAATGAATTAAATTTTACTTCAACTAAGGCTGTCGCTAGAGACTCTCCTAAGCAGGTGTGTCCACAACCAAAAGTTACGAAAACCCAGGCTGAATGGACTGCGCGTGGGTCTGTTGTCCCCAAGAGACCCGTGAAAAACTCCAGTGAGAGTGAAAAAACTAAAATTGCACTGAAATTTTGTCCGTTGAAACCAGCACAAGAACTTTTAAAATGTAATAGCCAGGAAAGACAAAGTAAACTGGAGCAAAACAGCAATTACCAGTCAGTGAAAGTTCCTTCAGAGAACAGGATTTTATCGCTAAATTCAGTTGCAAATTCGTACAAACGCAAGGCAGTTCAGACCAGAATAAATGTTATGAGTGTCACTGAGAATAAACATTTCAGTTGCATTCATAGCAGTATTCCCCGTGTTCGTGAAGAACTTGGTAGTCTTGAGAAACGAATAAATGAAGCATTTTCTAGCGTACGACAACGTGACGCTAATATTTTGAAATTTGATGAAGAATTGGAAACGCTAAGGACCCGGGGGGGGTACTGCCATATATGGGCTATATGGGTAAGGGGCGCTGTGAAGGGTATGGTTTTCAAGCAGTTTACTCTAGGATAGGGTATATAAATCAGAGCGTTTGGGTCTAGAATAGGGTATCATTTTTCAGGAAACTGATCAGTTGGTTGAAGATTTTATCTAGACTGGGGAAACAGCTACTCTAGGATAGGGGGATTTTGGGAGTTTACTCTAGTATAGGGTAGCAAAATTCAGCTGAACTAGCTCTGGTATAGGTCAAGGGTTCCAGGGTCCCAGCGGCACATCCCCACCCAGAAATTCCTAAAGTGCCCCCGGGGCTAAGGAGCGCTATTGTTGAGAACTATTCAAATGTTGTGCCCAAGAAAATTAAAATTTGTTCCACGATAAGGAAACCCTTACGACACAAACGAACTAGTGAAATCGAAACTGAAATTTTAGTAGTTGGACAACTGAGAGAGAAAAGTCTGTAGTAATTCCTGAAGAACCGGAGCAAAAGTTTCAAACAGTAGAGCCACAAGATAGCGAAATTATCTTCGAAACAAATCATTTTGTTTTTGAGGGACCGAAAATTTCATGCTACCAAATAGAATCATATATAGAGTGTAACAAAGAGAAACAGCCTGGATTGCACATCGATATCTCAAACGGTTTACAAAAGCTTCAATGCAACAGTCTCACTTATGTCCCTGCCACTGAAAAACGACTCGACTTTGTTCAGAGAGGCGTTAACAAGGAAATGCCACCCTACTCTTACAAAACTCCTAGAAAACGGAAACCTCCTGAAAGAATTTATTGTACAATTCGTGGTTTGGGTTGAGACAATAATTATTATTGCGTGCTTTCGACAGATAAATATACGATGGAAAATTGTAACCTTGTGTTGAACTCAAGCTGAGATAAGACACCAAGCGGAAAATAAACAAACAAACAGAACTTAACATTAGAATTAAGAAAAGATTAAATCAGGTAAAATAAGGTTAAGCTATATAAGTATAATTTATTCAGATAGTTGTTAAGCTGATATAATTGTAAAATTGGCTGGTGTTCCTTAAGCTTTAACTGCCCTCACTTAATTTCAAGACTTCAAGTGGACAAGAGAAAGAATAATCACGACTGAACCATCCCATTAATTAAAACAAACAACGACATACATCGCCATGGTCACAATATGAACCTACACTTTGAACAACAGTGTGAAGAAGAAATTTGTGAAACGATCTTCTATTCGAAAAACACTGGTGTTACTTGAAAACCGTAACAGAAAAATGTCTTGACCTGCAAGGAACCAAGAAATGACGACAGGAAACTCCTTCATTGGTATGGTCAGCAATTCTGGTTTAACTGCCTCGCTGGTACTTTGATAAACCGCTACAGTTTGAGAATGCAAGGACAGGATGTCTCACACATATTGAATTGGCTAAAAACACTGGACCTCCTGATCCAAGTTACTAGAGAGTGCTACAATAACTTGTGCGAATGATCTTTGGAAATCTCCTTGGCACAATCCGCGGGAAACATGTCTGGCTCTAACAAGTTTCTTCTCTCACTGACGGAAACTTTTTAAACTATTATCATTACTGTTACTGTTTTCGTTAGTTTTAGCGCTTACACGGCCTACGAAATTCTCTTTTTGTCGCCGGGAGACGACACTTAAAAGGGGGGAATAATATGTTAGAGTACATTTTTGTTTAGTCTGCTTCATTGTATGCGCTTCACTTCGTAATCATTAATATTTATTCAGTTTATTCTATTTATTTTGGTGTTGGGCATTTTAACTTTGCTCAGGAGTAAATATATATCTTATGTTAGTGAACAAAGGATGGTGTTTACAAGCCATCAGAACAGCTGGACACACTTTAGATTTTACTAGCAAACCTTTGCTGGTCAGTAAGTCCTTTGCTAAAAATGTTTGCACCGACCTCTTTTGGTGTTGGGATCAAGCAAAAATAACTTAGGTTAAGAAACACCTCTTCAAGCTTATTTTAGAAACACAGAAACATGTTCAAAAGATAGAAATAATTACTTCCCTTGGTAGATGTATTTAGCTGTGGAAAGGGAAAATAAGCGTTTCCTGTTAACGAAGTTCGTTTATTTAAACCTGAAGTTAGTTCTCACTTTCGCTTCCAAACTTGAATCATAATCAGATTTCCTTATCTCATTAAAATCTTGTTGGGGCCACGTTACCTAACACCTTTTTAGTCCTTTGTTCTCAGTTGGGCTATTTTCAGCTAAAATTCACTTACTTTCTTACTTTCAAACTAAAAATAAGTGAGTAAAATACAGTCCTATTTTTGAGTCTAATTTGGTTCCCTTAAATCAGGGCCAATACAGTCCAATTAGCTAGGACTGATTTGGTCCCAGGGCTGAAATGGGCCCTACCGTGGGCTGGAATAGCCTTTTGATAGAGCATTTTTGGCCTAAATTGTGCTCAAATGGCTCCAGGAAGGGCTGAATCAGACTTTGACCTGCAGGGCTGAATTGACACTTAAGGGATGAAACAGATCTTTTCAATTTTCAGTGTTCCTGCGTATACCTCGACTCTCTCAAAATCTGTACCCTTACAATAGCGTAATTTACAGTGAATTTACCATTATTCGGCTACAATTACTCCATTTTGGTGAGAATTAGTGGACTCCATGCAGTAAAAACGGATTAAGAATCGTCAAGGAGACATAGTAAAGCCCGTTTGGTCACATAGATATCCAAGGGTAAGGTAGACGCGAACTTTATTAATGTTTGGGAATTCGGTAATTGTCTACATCACACCAAGGAAATAATATACCGGCATCACAGCAAAACTCGTGGAAGCCTAGTAGGTTGCAAACACTTTACTAAAGTAGTTCGAAAAAATGACAATGACCGCAATGATTGACAGGAAAGCTTAAGATCTATAATTAAAAGTTCCTTCAAAAGAAGCGTCTTGCTTGTGTATAGATCTTGTCACGGTTTTCGACGCCATCTTGACGAGTAGGCAAACAAGTGAGAAATTACAGTGTTTGTATGAGAATCAAATGTCGAATAATTTCCGCAAAACGGCTTTTCTGAAAAAAAATATAAATTGTAATAAAGCTACAAAGCAAACAATTGTTCTAAAAAAATTTAGGAGCGTATCTGTGCTTAAATTTCTCCAGAGGCTTGCTTAGATTTTCCATGTAATTTTTCCCGGGACTTTCTTACAGACATGTATAGAAAATTTAAGAAAGTGGTTCTAGGTCTTCTACCGCATGAAACGCCCTCAATTTTTCAGCAGAGTCCTTCGGAGTGAGGCTTGAGTTTACAATTCATTTTTTTTTAGAATAGCCGTTCTACGGAAATCATTCGACATTAGTTTCTCATACAAACACTGCAACTCTCACACGTTTACCTACTCGTCAAGACGGCGTCGAAAACCGTGACAAGGTCTATTATATTAATATTCCCGCCTCAAGAGATCAGCCTATTTATATGACTCTTGACTCCCTTTGGTCCAAGTGCATAGTATAGCGGGTTTGATGATACTTCGATCTTCTTAGATTAGTAGTGACGCACATCAGTATTCCTCTTTAAGATTGACACAGGAGTTCAGGCTGAATTAACTCCAGCTTTGTTTTTTCAACACCGCTCCTTAAAGGTATGGAATATGAAGCTTTGTTCTTTGGTTTTCTGTTTCTTATCTCACACCAAACTACTTAACATACCAATCATTTGATGGGTGCAACTAACAGGTTTATAGCACTTCTAATCCCGGGGAGGGGGGAGAAGGGAGCAAAAGTATGTTTGGGTAGAGGTATGCTTCAGTGCAAAGACAAACTCCTTAAAGCAGATATATAAATGTGATCAGGTTTCCATATTTACAATAATAGGGGTGCAGCCTTTTCCCCCAAAAAAGGTACTCAAAAGGCTTAGAGGGTAGACATCAATTTTCCAACCTTAAATACCCCTTAATATGCCGCTGCTATTGAGCATTTTGTTGACGTACACAATCCCTGTAGTTAGTGTTTTTAGTTACCGAGTCGTTGTTTTAATCGGTTTTGTTGTGCAGTTGATTACACCATACATGTCTAATTTTATCTAATTAAAGTTGTATTGTTTATGTGTTATTTAAGTCTCTTGTTTCTAATTTCTGCATCCCCGCGAAACGTTCTCAGCGGAAAAGAGCAAGGAGAAACGGTTACTACATCATGGGCTGCTTTCTTTGTTTTCTTCCTTAATTTTAGGTATGTTAAGAAGTTTGATGAGAAAAGAAAATTTTCTTTTCTCATCAAACTTCTTAACATACCTATCATTCGATGGGTGCAACTAACAGGTTTATAGCACTCCTAATCCCGAGGGTTGGGGGTCAAAGATAATTTTGGGTAGAGGTATGCTTTAGTGCAAAAATCGTTCAGTTTTACGACCCTGATTCGTTTCATTTTGCATACAGAATTAACTAATTTTTCAAACTAACATCATAACTAATTGATGATACCACACATCATTGCCAACCCACGCACTCTTTTTAAGGAATCCGTTGCAAAAAGACACTCTGTTCAAATATGCTAAATAGTTATAAATTTAAATTCACAATGGGAGTCCCCAACTCCCAAACATTCCAGGCCAAGATAAGTTATGGGAAGAGGCAAACCTGGAGGCGGAATAGGAGTGGGAGCTAATAGGTGCAAAAGTGAGCTATCACTGCATGGCAAGGGAGAGTGGGGTGACAACCTGGTCGCTGTTGTCCGTTTAACAAAGAAAGGAATAAGGACAGCACGGGAATTTTACAGACTGCCGAATGACCGTTATATGCACACCGAATGAATTCTACGTTTCGTAATTTGGTTATTGTCCACATCACACCACAGAGAATACTGAAAGCATCACAACAAGATGAAAATGAGTATTGTGGAACCCTAGTTAGCTTGCAAAGACTACCCTCAGTTTATATTGGCACTTTATACGTTAAGTCGTTTAAGGGTAAATTAAAAACAACCAGAGGAACATTTGAGAGGCCACGAAGACCTTCAACAATTTATTATATGCACTTTTGTGTTCGTTAATTAACTATAAAAAAGCTAACAAATAATTACGAATAGGGCATAATTCACCCGATTAGTTAAGCATTTATTGTAGCAGCTCAAGTCCGTCACAGTGGTCCAAATCCAGGGGAACTAGAAAAGAAAATCTTAGATTAGTAAAGTTTTTATGGCTGTACTGGCTACAGTGCTGGTGCTAATTGCCAAATTACTGAAGGGATCTCTTAAGAAATGTCACGCAAAAAAATAAAAACAAAAGAGCAAACACGTTGTTCTGCATAATGTTTACGATGAGGCGAAGTCAAAACTATAGTCAATGAAGTAGTCCATCTCAAAACAAACAGGCTTTTGAATGTCTTTCATATCCCTGACGCGCGTCTTTTTCTGGAGTAGACTTTCTTCAGCTGAGCGATACAGACGCAGAACTGAGAACATCTTCATGGCCTTGACTAAAAATACTCAACACACCTTCTGCATTAAATTGTGTTATTCTATGTTTGTATTGGGCTTTTCACTTGCGATTGAAATCGTTTACTTTCTCATGGCGTGAAACGTTTAGGCAACATAGACCTGGGACTTGAAAAAGTTGTTTATGCATCAGTCGTTTATAGTATTTCATTTACTTGGCTTTTATGTTTCAAAAGTTTGGGATTTATTTTTTCATGTCTCGGATTTATTGCGTGACAGTGAAAACGATCCACGCACAAGGTGTTAAGACTATGAAAAAATAAACGATAGAATCAGAATCATATTGTAACATATTTAGAACATACACTTCTTCCATGTAGCGACAGCAACATTCAGATCCAGACTGGCACAAATGCCCTAATGAGTGGTGGCAAAGTTCCGTGGGGCAGGACCCATAACCTGGACAATTGTTACATCCACCAACACAGCACATCGGTTGAAAAGCTGTGAACAGGTGAGATAAAAAGTCATTACAATACAAAATTTTTTAATCTCAGTAAAACGAACGAGTAGCGGTTACTCCCAGTCCGTCGTTGGATTCCTATCCCAAGTACTGACGCCTGGCATTTGCAAGACGAAACAAAAACTTCCGTTCATGCGCGTCTCAAAGTAGTCTAATATCACAAATTCGTTGTCTATAACAAATAACGTTTAAGCGCGTGCGCCTTAAAAGCTTCCAAAGTTATCGTCTTAGGGCTCACAATTTTTTTTCTCTGGGGCTCAGAAGTTTTTCCGAGTTTCCATTTGATGCAAAAAACGTATCATGTTCTACTTCTACAAAAAAGACTCACATGGGTCATCAGTTGGTCCATCAAACATTCTCTTATAGAGAAAGTTGTAGGTCTTCTCTTTTTCCTGTGGGCGACGCAGCCGTGCACTGTGCACAGCTGAGCTCACCAGAACTACCAGCAGCATGCAAATGTAAAACTTGGCAGCCATTGCTTGTAGTTTAGCCTGGTTAAAAGAAAGGAAATATCGCGGCTTACAAACAAAATCTTGTCACAAGAGAAGAACAAAGTACTGGGGGCATGAGCTTCAAAATGGATACTAACTAGACTACTTTCTACTAAACTGATAGTTAATTTCGGTTGTAAACAAATCTACGCTTAGGGTACAATTAAGAATTAAGAGTAAACTTCATCTGGATCACAGCTCCAGTCTCACACCGGGAACTGAACTAATGAAGATCTACTTGGTTGTTTCCCTTTCATTTCTTCACTGTTGACATAAATTTTGCTTGTAAACAAATCTATGTTTAGGACACAACTAAGAATTAAGAAACAAACTGTACCTTGCAAGACGTAACGTGCTTAAAACGTTTGTTGGATCACAACTCTGTCCTGAACTGATAAAGATACACTCGGTTGTGTCGTTTTTATTCCTTCATTATTGACAGTGGCTCCGCCCACGTTTTCGTTCTGAAAATAGCCCGCTCTAAATTAGAGCTGCCCTTTGACATATTTCAATCACAATAGATATTGCTTGAATAGTGATGAAAAACCTCTAGGGCGTAAACCAACTATGATGAATAGGAATACTTGAATTGGCATCTCCTTGTGATACCTAATCAATGACCGGGTTTGGCTACTAGTTATAAGTGTATTCAGTATTTTTCCAATGACAGTGCCTATTCAGAAAAAACAAAACTGCCTGTCTCATCAGCTTATGTTTTATCATAAGAAATGCACGACAGTAGCCGGATCAAAGCTTTATGACAAATTTACACCTACTGATGCGTAAAACACAATGGGTACCAAGCTTATGCTTGTACACCGGAAACTGATGATTGCAGGTAGCACAGACCAATTATACTGAGAGAACCTTTGTCTGTCTCAGCCGCAAATTTAAAGTAGCTATTAATTTTAAAATTGCGTCAAATATATAACCAGCGAGGAAAAGCATATTCTCGAAAGCATAGTAAGTCAGTCGACAAGTGCCTCAAGACATGAAAAATATTGGATTTTTTTTAGCAAACAACAGTTCCACCAAAATAAAACCCTGAAGTTACGTCCAAAAACGCACATGTTGGACATCAAGAATAAATATTGTATTTAAATTACAAAATCAGTTCAGTTCTACCAGAACATAGCCAGTTAGTAAAACGTTGCGGCGTAAAGTCGAAGTTATAGGAAACGCCATTTTATAGGTTATAGCATAACAACTTAGGTTTGTTTTCTAAAAGTCAAGAAAACTTGTTTTAGCGTCGTTAACATCATTCAGTACCAAATAAGAACAATTGGTACAAGGTTATGCTACTAAGCATAGGAAGTGGATGACGGCAGGTATTTTCATTTTGAATTTTACTTTATAGTGTTGCCATTTTAGTGGACAGTTCACTGTTCACAAAGCCTCATTTGCCGCGGTATTATGCTTATATCAGATATCACGTTAAAACCGAGATTTTTCCTAAGCATTACTTCACATTCATATTTATATGATGTTTTGAGGTTGCCTTTGATTGACTGGATGGTCCAAAGAACTTCTTTAATGAAACCCTGAGGTGCGAAAGTGCTAGACAAGCTACACAAGTCCGGTTCACTTTATGTTTGTTTGATCAATCGTGAAACCATAAAACTAAAAACAAGCTATATTATAAGCAATTAGGTGAGAAATAAGTTGCAAATCATTGATTGTTTGAGGTTTGTTTTGGCTTCTTTTCAAGATCGGAAACTTTCTTTTGTAATTCCAGGCGTCCTTCAGATAGTGAGAACACTATCTGAACGACGCCTGGAACACTGATTATGACCAAAGTAGGGAATAGATGTTTTTTATTTCAAATACAGAATAAATAAATAAATAAATAAATAAATAAATGGAGCAAACTCGCACAATTTTATTTCTGTCAAGTATTGTAGACCACAGGACGAGGAATTTAGTCAAATGTAAAAAGTTAGAGGCTGTAGACTTTAGTTAACAACGTAGTTTACCATTATTCGGCTAAAATTTACTCCATTTTGGTGAGAATTAGTGGACTCCATGTAGTAAAAACGGATTAAGAATCGTCAAGGAGACATAGTAAAGCTCGTTTGGTCACATAGCATGATCCAAGGGTAAGGTAGACGCGAACTTTATTAATGATTTGGGAATTCGGTACTTGTCTACATCACACAAAGGAAATACTGAACCGGCAAAATTCGTGGAAGCCTAGTAGAAAAATGACACTGGACCGCAATAATTCACAGGAAAGATCTATAAATTTCCTTCAAAAGAAGCGTCTTGCCTGTGTATAGATCTTGTCACGGTTTTCGACGCCATCTTGACGGTAGGCAAACATGTGAGAATTAAATTACAGTGTTTGTAGGAGGATCAAATGTCGAATAATTTCCGCAAAATTAAACGGCTTTTCTGAAAAAAATATAAATTGCAATAAAGCTACAAAGCAAAGGAAGGTACTAAAAGAAATTTGGGAGCGTATCTGTGCTTAAATTTCTCCAGAGGCTTGCTTTCGATTTTCCGGGTAATTTTTCCCGGGACTTAATTCTTACAGACACATGTATAGAAAATTTCAAAAAGTGGTTCTAGGTCTTCTAGCGCATGAAACGCCCTCAATTTTTTTCAGCAGGTTCCTTAGAAGTGAAGCTTTTGTTTACAATTCATGTTTTTTTTTAGAATAGCCGTTCTGGCGGAAATTATTCGACATTAGATTCTCATACAAACCCTGTAATTGCTCACCCGTTTGCCTCCTCGTCAAGATGGTGTCGAAAACCGTAACAAGGTCTATTATATTCCCGCCTCAAGAAATCAGCCTATTTATATGACTCTTGACTCCCTTTGGTCCAAGTGCATAGCATAGCGGTTTTCATGATCCTTCGACTTTCTTAGACTAGTAGCGACGCACATCAGTATTCCTCTTTAAGATTGACGCAGGAGTTCAGACTGAATTAAATCCAGCTTTGTTTTTTCAACACCACTCCTTAAAGCTATGGAATATGAGCTTTGCTCCTTGGTTTTCTTTTTCTTTTCTCACACCAAGCTTCTTACCATACCCATCATTTGATGGGTGCAACTAACAGGTCTAGCACTTCTAATCCGGGGGGGGGGAAGGTAAGTTTGGGTAGAGGTATGCTTTAGTGCAAAAATCGTTCAGTTTTATGACCCTGATTCGTTTCACTTTGCACACAGAATTAACTAATTTTTCAAGCTAACATCATAACTAATTGATGGTAAAACACATCATTGCCAACCCACGCACTCTTTTTAAGGATTCCGTTGCAAAAAGACACCCTGTTCAAAATGCTCAATAGTTATAAATTTAAATTCACAATGGGAGTCCCCACTCCCAAACATCCCAGGCTAAGATAAGTTATGGGAAGAGGCAAACCTGGAGGCGGAATAGGAGTGGGAGCTAATAGATGCAAAAGTGAGCTATCACTGCAGGGAGGGAGAGTGGGGTGACAACCTGGTCGCTGCTGTCCTTTAACAAAGAAAGGAATAAGGACAGCACGGGAATTTTACAGACTGCCGAATGACCGTTATATGCACACCGAATGAATTCTACGTTTCGTAATTTGGTTATTGTCCACATCACACCACAGAGAATACTGAAAGCATCACAACAAGATGAAAATGAGTATTGTGGAACCCTAGTTAGCTTGCAAAGACTGCCCTCGGAGTTTATATAGGCACTTTATACCTTAATTCAGTTAAGGGTAAATTAAAACAACCAGAGGAACATTTGATAGGCCACGAAGACCTTCAACAATTTATTATATGCACTTTTGTGTTCGTTAATCAACTACAAAAAAGCTAACAAAGAATTACGAATAGGGCATAATTCGCCCGATTAGTTAAGCATTTATTTTAACAGCTCAAGTCCATCACAGTTGTCCTGTTCTAAGGTTACAGTGCATGTGAAATTCATCAATGGCGGGATCACTCATCAGTCACTAAGAAAAGAAAATCTTAGATTAGTAAAGTTTTTATAGCTGTACTGGCTACAATGCAGGTGCTAATTGCCAAATTACTGAAGGGATCTCTCAAGAAATGTCACGCATAAAAATAAAAACAAAAGCGCAAAACACGTTGTTCTGAATAATGTTTACGCTGAGGCGAAGTCAAAACTATAGTCAATGAAGTACTCCATCTCAAAACAAACAGGCTTTTGAATGTTTTTCATATCCCTGACCCGCGTCTTTTTCTGGAGATGACTTTCTTCAGCTGAGCGAAACAAACGCAGAACTGAAAACATTTTCATGGCCTTGACTAAAAATACGCAACACACCTTCTGCATTAAATTGTGTTATTTAATGTTTGTATTGGGCTTTTCACTTGCGATTGAAATCGTTTACTTTCTCATGGCGTGAAACGTTTAGGCAACATAGACCTGGGACTATTATGCATCAGTGGTTTATAGCATTTCGTTTACTTGGCTTTTATGTTTCAAAAGTTTGGGATTTTTTTTTTTTCATGTCGGATTTATTGCGTGACAGTGAAAACGATCCACTTACACGGTGTTAAGACTATGAAAAATGCGCGATAAAATCAGAATCATATTGCAATATATTTAGAACATAAACTTTACTGTACCTGCAGCAACACACATATCCAGTGGTGCAGTTAGAGCCACCTGCGTATAAGCAAGCATTCTGGTTGAGGCAGGCGTAACGATCTTTCGCTGGACAATTGTTACAGTTACCATAACAGCAAATCGGTAGTGACCCTGTGAACAGGTGAGATAAAAAGTCATTGCAATATAAAATTTTTTAACATCAGTAAAACGAACGAGTAGCGGTTACTCTCAGTCTGGCGTTGGATTCCTATCCCAAGTACTGACGCCTGGCATTTGCAAGACGAAACAAAAACTTCCGTTCATACGCGTCTCAAAGTAGTATAATATCACAAATTCGTTGCCTAAAACGAAGAACTTTAAAGCACATGGGCCTTAAAAGCTTCGAAAGTTACCGTCTTGGGACTCACAATTTTTTTTCTGAATCCCATCTGGAGCTCAGAATTTTTCCGAGTTTTAAAGCTATTTGATGCAAAAAAAAACGTATCATGTTCTACTTCGACAAAAAAGACTCACTTGCACCACGTTTCTCATAGAGAAAATTGGAGGTCTTCTCTCTGTCCTGTGGGCGACGCAGCCGTGCACTGTGCACAGCTGAGCTCACCAGAACTACCAGCAGCATGCAAATGTAAAACTTGGCAGCCATTGCTTGTAGTTTAGACAACAGCGTTAAACCTGGTTAAAAAGAAAAGGAAATATCTCCTTACAAACAAAATCTTCTCACAAGACAAGAAGAAAGTACTGGGGGCATGAGCTTCAAAATGGATACTAACTAGACTACTTTCTACTGAACTGATAGTTAATTTCGGCTGTAGACAAATCTATGCTTAGGCACAATTAAGAATTAAGAGTAAACTTCAACTGGATCACAGCTCCAGTCTCAAACCGGGAACTGAACTAATGAAGATCTACTTGGTTGTTTCCTTTTCATTCCTTTACTGTTGACAGTAAATTTCGCTTGTAAACAAATCTATGTTTAGGACACAACTAAGAATTAAGAAACAAACTGTACCTTGTAAGACGTGAGGTGCTTAAAACGTTTGTTGGATCACAGTTCTGTCCTGAACTGATAAAGATACACTAGGTTGTGTCATTTTTATTCCTTCATTATTGACAGTGGCTCCGCCCATACCCTGCGAGCAGTGGTTTCTCCAGCGTCCGGCCTGGAGAAACCTCTGCTCGCAGGGTACTCCGCCCACGTTTTCGTTCTGAAAATAGGCCGCACTAATACGCTTTTGTACATTATGCTTTTGCTTCCCCACTAAAATGCTTCACCTTAATGCTCCATTTTTCCAACTAAAATGCTCGGTCTCCCCAGAAAAGTCACTAAAATGCTCGGATAATGTTCATTATACAAACGCTTTTTTTAATTAATTTCAAAGTTTACACTTACAAAAACGTGCACGTGCTGCAAGTAACAACGACAACGTGTACAAGTTCATAAATACAGCCAAACAAAAAACAGCTGTATTAGGTTTTTTGTGAAGTTTGAGTTTTAGTCTTCCTTTTCTTTAAAAAAGCAGGAGCTCATGGGGCATGGGCTTCTAAAAAAGTTAATTTCTACTTTATTTTCTCGGAAAAAATTAATTTTCCGGGGAAAATGCCACTAAAATGCTCGAATAATCCTCAATGCTTTTGCCTCACTAAAATGCTCTAAAAAATGCTAGCACAATGTACAAAAGCCTACGCACTAAGGGACGGACCACTAGAAAACTTATCGGGGGGGGGGGCGAAGTACAAAAAAAAGATATTCGCGCAAGGGAAAATTAAATGAAAAAAAATTTATGCACGCCAATTAACCCTAAAAAAATATCCATGCTACGGCCTAAAAAAAAATTATACAAGGAATTTGATAACGAAAAAAAATTCCTGCGGTTCGTCCCTAAATTAGAGCTACCCTTTGACATATTTGTAATGGTAACAGGACTGAGTGGAGTCCAATTCGGTCTGTAATCATACGAGTGATTAACAAAATCGGACGACCGCGTAGCGGGAGTCCGATTTGTTTAATCACGAGTATGATTACAGACTGAATTGGACGACACGAAGTTCTGTTACCAATTAATCATAACTTTAACAAAATTTGTGACATAATAGGCTATTTTTTAAATCAAAACACAAGAAATTCGAAATTTTGTTTTGCTAGCAGTGAAAAAAAAAGCCATTTAAGCGCGCGCGTGATGGCGCTTACTGTCCAGTTACTTAGGCATGAGGCGTACTGTCCTATTAAACCGTCCCTTTAAGGCTGAAATCAGGGCATGCAGTTGACAGCCAGTCAGATTTGACAATTTTGCTATAGTTATGATTATAATCACAATAGTGGATTATTTACGTATGGAAAGATATTTCTTGAATAGTGATGAAAAACCTCCACGGCGTAAATCAACTATGATGAATGGTGTTAGGGGGAAAATGTAGATTTCGTTGGGTTTTCAATTTATTTTATTGCACGTGACTACAAAATTATAAAACTAGGATTGTTTACCGAGATTGTCTACTCATGTATATAATTATTGGAACAGTGTGCCTTAGGAAGTTCTGTACGCAAATTATATGTATTTTCCAGAAATGGTTATACAGCTTAGTCACTGAATAACTGGATCTTTCACCTGTTCAAATACCAACACAACCACAACCGTTCGTAGTTTTTAGTTTTGACATTTTAGGGAATCCTGAGCAAAGGAGGTGCGGAAGTGCTAGACAAGGTACACAAGTGCGTCTCACTTTTTTTTTTTTTTTTTTTAACAGAGATCTTTATTACCACTACATCACTTACAACACTTTCACTACAAAATTTAAGGTTACAAAAAATTACAATTAAGAATTAAGATTCCAACGATTAATACAACATACACTGCAACCAGGCTTGCTTCACGCATACGTAGATTAGATTATAATCATTTACAGTAAGGAGAGGAGAGGCTTCCATTGTGAAAGAAATTTTGCTTTTTGTCCTTTGGAATAAAAAATCGATCTTTGCACAATTAACTTGTCTTTAACGAATTCAAGAAAGTGATCAAAGCTTGGGGGTGTAATTTCGCTCCTTTGCAGGAAGATATGTCTCTTGCCAAGAAGGATATAATAGTTAAGGATTTGCCTTTTAGGATCTTCGGGATTATAGCCATACATTATACTTAAGTCATCAAATAGCAAACATTCACCACTGTGAGTTTTCCACCAGCTAATTACTTCAAACCAAAACTTTTGAATTACTATACAGTTAACTAGCATATGGGAGAGCGTTTCTAGGGAATCACTTTGAGTCGAGGATTAAACAGAATTGCTACTCCTTTGCTGTGTTTACAGAAGTACACTTTACTACCCCACTCGTTACTCCATAATTTTTCTTGGTCAGTAGAGCTATATGTCTCTTGCAAGAAAATTATTGAGTACTTGTTAACGTGCAGTTGCCGAAAAATAGCTCCTCGTTTTCTTGAACTATTTAAACCCCTAACATTTAACGTAGTAAAAGTTAACTTATTCATATTAACGAATAAATATCGATATCTTAATAGTTTCACAATACAGAAGCCTTCTTAAGCTAAAGCCTGGAGAAAACATTGCATCACTTACAACATAAAAACGAAAATTACCTTTTATGAAACAAATTAAAGGCATTGCCTGTGAAGTTCTTTTAACTCCAACAATGGGTAGAATGTGAGATTAAAGTTGTTGTTGGTCAGTATCACTCCGACGGCGTTGCTAGGTTAACTCTTTGCCTGTTCCATTTCATGGCGTAGTTTTGCTAGTTCTTCTGTTCCTACGATTCTGTGACTGCCATTGGCATCGACATATTTGAGTATTGCAGGATATGCGATGTAGACTTTCCGGTCGTCTCCGAGTTTCTTCTTTAGAAACTTTCTGTAGGGCACGAGCTCTTGCCTCCGCCGTTGGGTTTTTTTGGCGAAATCCTCACTTATACCGATGGCATTTCCGTTTAACGGGTTATCCTTTAGACTGACGAGCGGCGGCATTCCTTAGTACCTTCATCTTATCCAAGATGGCGGCGCCGGCCTCATGTTGGTGGCGTTCTTTCATCTTCACTGCTTAAGCATGCCTCTTGTCTCGCTCGCTTTTCGTTGGGCATAACGGAAAGGAAAAGCAAAGATTCTCTAAATAGTTTGAGGCTGATTTGGCTAATTTCCTGAAACTGATATAGTGAAACGGCAAGGCAGCGACGGAGCGACAAAAAAACACGACTACTCCATTTGGGGCCCAGTCCCAGTAAAATCGTGCGTCTCACTTTATGCTTGTTTGATCAATCGTGAAACCATAAAACTAAAAACAAGCTATAATTGTTATAAGCAATTAGGTGAGAAATAAGTTGCAAATCATTGATTGTTTGAACACTATCTGAACGACGCCTGCAACACTGATTATGACCAAAGTAAGGAATAGATCAGGGGCACCCAACGACAATTTTCGGAAAATATCTGTTCGGAAGACGATTTGAGATCTAGAATTTTCGTAATATTTGCTGTAAAATTTCTTGCTTGCCTGCCTCTCCTAGGATTTTCGAACTTCTAAAAAATGGTATAATTGCCCATTTTTAACGAATTGTAACCCTTAAAAGGTCACCTAGAATTTTCGGGAGCCTTTTTTCTGGCTGAAATTATCCCTATAATTTTCGGATCACTAGACTTTCAGCTAGGAAATCCGAACAGATGAAAAATTTCTAGGGGATAAAAATATGCCTATATCTACCGTTTAAATACTAAAATACATTTAACAATGCTATGTTTAGGTGGTTTTGAACTATATTCTCGTTGGGTGCCCCTGATAGATGTTTTTATTTCAAATACAGAATAAATAAATAAACGAAGCAAACTCGCACAATTTGATTTCTGCTCAGTATTTTAGACCATAGGACCAGGAATTTAGTCAAATGTAAAACGCTAGAGGCTGTAGACTTTAGTTAACAGCGTAATTTACCATTATTCAGCCAAAAATTACTCCAATTTCGTGAGAATTAGTGGACTACATGCAGTTAAAACGGATTAAGAATTGTCACGGAGACATAGTAAAACCCGTTTGGTCACATAGGTATCCAAGGGTAAGGTAGACGCGAACTTTATTAATGTTTGGGAATTCGGTAATTGTCTACATCACACCAAGAAAATACTGAACCGGCATCACAGCAAAACTCGTGGAAGCCTAGTAGGTTGCAAACACTTTACTCAGGCACTTTACTAAAGTAGTTCGAAAAAATGACAATGACTGCAATAATTGACAGGAAAGATCTTTAAAGTTCCTTCAAAAGAAGCGCCTTGCTTGTGTATTATATTCCCGCCTCAAGAGATCAGGGGCACCCAACGTCAACTTTTACAAAATATCTGTTCGGAAGGCGATTTCGGAACATTTATTGTAAAATTTCTTGCTTGCCTACCTCTCCTAGGATTTTCGAACATCTAAAAAATGGTATAATTGCCCATTTTTAACGGATTTTTACCCTAAAACTGAGGTCACCTAGAATTTTCGGGACCCTTTTTTCTGGCTGAAATTTTCGAAAAGGCAAGTCTTGATCCCTGTAACTGTGGATCACTAGACTTTCCGCTAGGAAATCCGAACAGATGAAAAATTTTTAGGGGATAAAAATATGCCTATATCTACAGTTTAAATACTAAAATACGTTCAACACGGGCTATGTTTAAGTGGTTTTGAAGTATATTTTCGTTGGGTGCCCCTGAGATATCACCCTATTTATATGGCTCTTGATTCCCTTTGGTGTCAGGATTTAAGCATCCAAGTGCATAGTGAACAAATTTACACCTACTGATGCGCAAAACACAATGGGTACGAAACTTATGCTTTTTACTCCGGAAACTAATGATTGCAGGTAGCACGGACCAATTATACTGAGAGAGCCTTTGTCTGTCTCAGCCGCAAATGTAAAGTATCTATCAATTAAATTGCGTCAAATATATAACCAGCGAGGAAAAGCATATGCTGGAAAGCATAGTAAGTCAGTCGACAAGTGCCTCAAGACATGAAAAATATTGGATTTTTTTTTTAGCAAACAACAGTTCCACCAAAATAAAACCTTGAAGTTACGTCCAAAAACGCACATGTGAGACTTCAAGAATCAGGAATATTGTATTTAAATTAAAAAATCAGTTCAGCTCTACCAGAACATAGCCAGTTACTAAAAAGCTGCGGCGTTAAGTCGAAGTTATAGGAAAAGCCATGCTATAGGTTATAGCATAACAACTTAGGTTTGTTTTCTAAAAGTCAAGAAAACTATTTTTAGCGTCGTTAATATCATTCAGTCCTAAATAAGAACAATTGGTACACGATTATGCTAGTAAGCAAAGTGCATGACGGCAGTATTTGCTTTATAGTGCCGCCATTTTAGTCAGGGGCACCCAACGAGAACATAGTTCAAAACCACTTAAGCATATCATTGTTAAACGTGTTTTAGCATTTAAACGGTGGATATAGGCATATTTTTATCCCCTAAAAATTTTTATCTGTTCGGTTTTCCTAGCTGAAAGTCTGTTGATCCTAAAATCCTAGGGATCAAAACTTACCTTTTCGAAAATTTCAGCCAGAAAAAAGGCTTCCGAAAATTCTAGGTGACCTCTTTAGGGTAAAAATCCGTTAAAAATGGGCAATTATACCATTTTTTGGATGCTCGAAAATCCTAGGAGAGGCAGGCAAGCTTGAAATTTTACAACAAATGTTCCGAAAATTCTAGATCTCAAATCGTCTTCCGAACAGATATTTTCCGAAAATTGACGTTGGGTGGCCCTGTTTTAGTGGACAGTTCACTGTTTACAAAGCCTCATTTGTCGCGGTATTATGCTTATATCAGATACCACGTTAAAACCGAGATTTTTCCTAAGCATTACTTCACATTCATATTTATATGATGTTTTGAGGTTGCCTTTGATTGACTTCTTTAATGAAACCCTGAGGTGCGAAAGTGCTAGACAAGGCGGTACACAAGTCCGTTTCACTTTATGCTTGTTTGATCGATCGTGAAACCATAAAACTAAAAACAAGCTATATTATAAGTAATTAGGTGAGAAATAAGTTGCAAATCATTAATTGTTTGAGGTTTGTTTTGGCTTCTTTTCAAGATCTTTTCTTTTGTAATTAAGTTAGCCTGTTCCAGGCATCGTTCAGATAATGAGAACACTATCTGAAAGGGACGAGGAGCCGCAAGAGGTGATATTTTTGCACGGCATCTGGCGGCACATCAAAGAATTTGGAATTGAAGGGCAAATTCCTAGAATATCTTCGCCAGTTAAGCTAGAGAAAAGGTGTTAAAAAACCTCAGGATCCAAAACAACACGTCAATCAAAATATCACTTGGACCTTTTCGCTAATGAAGAGCTATCACGCGGCCAAGCTTGAATTAGACATATATTGAAATAGGAACTCGTGTCAATAAAGTATCTTAAGTGAGTGGGAATCGTTCCTAGTTAAAAAACTGGTTCACAGGGATATGCATCTCTTCTAGTTAAGAGAAGGGAATCAGAACTGCTTTTCATGCAGGAACAGGTTTTCTTCGGGCTAACTACAAAACTTCACCTTATTTCACTCCTTGACATTTTCAAAGCGCATTTTGTAAAGATAACTTTTTCTGCTTTATCAGCTTTTTTTATATTCTATTTCATTAATGTTTAACCTCCCTCAAAAAGCCAAATAATATAAATGCTGTTGTTAAAAAAAGCGTTTTACCTGTTTTCGTGAATTCGCTACCCAAAGATCACTAAGCTCAAAGGACAGGGCAAAATTTCCAGGAGAGAGGCATTAATTTTTTTTCCCACGAGGTTACAAAGAGAAAATGCAATGATTATTATTAATGTAACCATCAGGTATACTCTACCCACGAGGTTACGGAGAGCAAATACAGTGATTATTTTTAATGTAACCATCAGGTATGTTCTACCCACGAGGTTACAAAGAGAAAATTCAATGATTATTATTAACGTAACCTTCAGGTATGTTCTGCCCACGAGGTTACAGAGAGCAAATGCAGTGATTATTATTAAATGTAACCGTCAGGTATATTCTACCCACGAGGTTACAAAGGGGAAATGCAATGATTATTATTAACGTAACCATCAGGTATGTTCTACCCACGAGGTTACAGAGAGCAAATGCAGTGATTATTATTAATGTAACCGTCAAGTATATTCTACCCACGAGGTTACAAAGAGAAAATGTAATGATTATTATTAACGTAACCTTCAGGTATGTTCTACCCACGAGGTTACAGAGAACAAATGCAGTGATTATTATTAAATGTAACCGTCAGGTATATTCTACCCACGAGGTTACGGAGAGCAAATGCAGTGATATTATTAATGTAACCATCAGGTATGTTCTACCCACGAGGTTACAAAGAGAAAGTGCAATGATTATTATTAACGTAACCTTCAGGTATGTTCTACCCACGAGGTTACAGAGAACAAATGCAGTGATTATTATTAAATGTAACCGTCAGGTATATTCTACCCACGAGGTTACAGAGAGCAAATGCAGTGATTATTAATGTAACCATCAGGTATGTTCTACCCACGAGGTTACAGAGAGCATGCAAATGCAGTAACAATTATTAGATTTTAGTGCAACTATCAGGTTGAGTTTCTCCATTAAAAGAGTTTTTTGCTAGGGTTAAACAAGTTTGGCTTTGGGTCTTGACAAACTGCGAGCCAGCGAGCCAGCGAGTCATGCGAGTCGAACCAGTGAGTCATGCGAGTCATGCGAGTCATCATGTGAGCCATGCGAGACAGAAGTTCGAAGGAAAGAGAATCCATTTTTTGGCGAATCATAAGCAATTTAACTTTTTTAACATTTGTAGCATGAAATTAGCGTTCAGACGACAGCAAGAAAGCCTTTTAAAGAAAATGTATGAAAAGGTAACCGGTCAAGTCGCCCGAAAGTCATCTCGCCCGAAGTCATGAGTCTTAAGTCATGTCGCCCGCAATTTTATCGAGTGTATAAACTTGAAGAAAAGAAACATCTTAAGTAAATCGCAAGGAATAAACTCGTAAAATGTTGACTCGCTAACGAAAATACCCCTCAATGACGTCATAGCTTTTTCAATAACTGTGAATTTTGGGAAGGAACGTTAAACTTGTTAGTAAGTCAGATTTTTTATCGCGATATTCTTAAGCCATTGGCATTGGTTTTATTATGAAAGACGCAAGACGTTTGGGTTTTAAAGAGTGTTTTTTATGTTCTGGTCACGTGGCTTACCACATATGGTGTGACTCATTAAACGTGACCGAGGAAGAACCTTTAAACCTTTGTTTAACGCATTCTCAAACCTTTGTAGCCTGCGGGCAAGCTCTCCTATTTGGGCGAGCGAAACGAGCCGTGCGAGAACGCGCGAGTGAGCGGCGAAGCCGCGAGGGGCCGGCGAAAGGAGAGCTTGCAACCATCTCTTTCAAATTTTCATTTGTACTTCGTCCAGACGAAGGGAAATACCATTGGCTGAAAAATGACATTCCGGAAATCAAAGTTGATTGATAACAGGCCAAGCTGGCACCCGCTTCGTCTGTGTGTCAAATTTGGTTCTCAGGGGGATCACATTGGTACCGAGAACTTGTTTCAGCCCTCAATGCAAACGGGCTCGTCTGATGTCATTCTCGCAAAGAGAATATTACATGCCGAGGATAAGTCGGACCGAGTTTGTAGTTCTTCTGGAAGGACAATGAAAATCCTTCATCAGTTGTATTCATTTGTGTCAAGCGCCTTGTTTAGTTCTGAAAACCGGGAGAGTGAAAGTGAAGAGTGATTAAAGCGCTGTCTTCCAACATCGGTTTCTTCGCCCGATTGAATTCTGCTGGGTAGAAAAATTCAGAAACATGTAGTTGACAGTGTAGCTGTGTAGCTTGACCGTAAAGAAGGAAAAGAGAAAGAGTTGGAAGCAACTGGAGTAAACCTTAAGAGAACCAAGTGCAGGAAAACGCTATTCTCCAGTTCCAGACGGACAAATATAGGATGTTTTTGTTGGTGATTGCGATGGGGAGTAGTCTTCTACACTGTAGTATGGACGACTTTTCAAAAGTAAACGAAACGAGAATCAAAGTAGTGAGTTCTTATCCGAGCGGACACGTTGAAGTTCGATGTCCCCGTGAAAAAAAATATATATATATATATATCAGTGATTAAAAACATTGCCTTGATGCTGTTGCGAAAGCGATTCACAAATAAATAACTCTACGCGCCCTCGGCTGTCTAAACTTACTTGACAGGCGGTTGTCACTTTTCTAATCTGCGGCACGTTTGCGGTGACAGTTTTCACGCTTTGCGGAGTCCCGGGGTTTCCGGGGTGGAAATGAAAATTTATAAGAGATGGTTGCAAGCTCTCCTTTCCTCGGCCCCTCGCTCGCGCGTTCTCGCGAGGCTCGCTTCGCTTGCCCAAATAGAAGAGCTTGCCCGCAGGCTAAAACCTTTGTTATTGTTTCACCTCGTTCAATTTGTATGTTGGCGAATTTTTCTGAAGCTGAATTTTAAAGGACCTGCCTTTGGAATAGATACGTTACTTAGTAGTTTACGTTAAAAACAAAGTTATTTTATGCCGACTCGCATGACTCGCATGGCTCGCATGTTGACTCACATGTTGACTCGCATGACTCGCTGGCTCGCTGGCTCGCATATTATACACACTCTTTGGCTTTCATGAGTTTCACGGTGCAAGAAATTATCAGTATAATTATAGCACACAAACATTGTCATCTAATTCTTCGCACGTAGCCGGAATAAGCCAAGAAATGAAGCATATATAACGAAAAATCGTCCTCAGATGATCTCCATATTAAGTAAATGATACTAAACGTTGCGAAAGAAATTATTGTTTGTATCCGTCCTATCCATCGTAAAAGCGAGGGGTCATCGCATGACATCCGGTATATTAAACAGAGGTAATACTCACGGGTTTCACGAGTTGTATGCACTATTTTTCGCCGAGAAACAAATTTAAACTTCAATTCTTACCCTACAGTAGTCCGTTCTTTTACCTTGCATTCGACAACAAATCCGTTAAAGGCGAACAAAGCGATTCCGGCACCCTTCTTTATGATGAGTAGCAAGCCGCAGGAACTGAAGCCGCTTGACTGAAGTAAAATCCACCGATATGCGTGGCATTCTCACTACAAATATAAACAAACGTCGCGGAAAAAAAAGACGAGGAGGAAAAAATGCCAGATCTTCGCCTCGGCAATGTATTCCAGCTACCATGCCGGCGTATCTCCAGAAGGAGAACTCGACGTGGGACAAACCTTGTGATCTTTTTTTAGAAGCCCTTTGCGCGCAAACTAATTTATTCTGGCGCGAAATGAAGAATATGTATACTGAAATCTAATCCACGAGAAGAAGATTTTCGCACTGTAGCGCGACATATTAAATGCCTATTTTTACAAGTACGCGGAGAAAGTGGTCCACTAGTTTAACTTTTACTAATTTTTACTCCACAAAAGCAAAATGAAATGTTTTATCTCTATGTTGTTTACGTGCCTGATTAGAAGGCAGAAGTAAATTCATCATACAGACCCCATCAAAATGAAAGTACACGAATGAAACGGAATAAGTCTGGGACGGTTTAGTTTCTACTCAGCAGCTTCTTTGCTTTTATAACAAAAATTTAATGTTGCAGTCTGTTTTAAACGTTGGCATATCAACGCGCACACTCACTGAATGAAGACAACAGTCACGATCACGTTCTTCGAAACCGACCAGACGCGCGCGACCTACCACTGTTTAATATGGTAAGCAATTATCCTGAAGGTGTTAATGTTCCCGTGACAGTCTTCGCACTGAAGGTGTAAATGGTAAACCGAACGGTCGTTTTGATCATCAGAAAGACCTGTCAACTTTGATGATTTAACTGATTAAATTACGGGACAGAAATTTTACTGCTTGCGGCTCCTCGTGCGGACTGGAACACTGATTATGAGCAATGTGGGGAATAGATGTTTTTATTTCAAATACAGAATAAATTAATAAATAAATAAACAAATGGAGCAAACTCGCACAATTTGATTTCTGTCAAGTATTATAGACCACAGGAGAAGGAATTTAGTCAAATGTAAAAAGTTAGAGGCTGTAGACTTTAGTTAACAGCGTAATTTACCATTATTCGGCTAAAAATTACTCCATTTTGGTGAGAATTAGTGGACTCCATGTAGTAAAAACGGATGGAGAATCGTCAAGGAACACATAGTAAGGCCCGTCTGGTCACATAGGTTAGGTATCCAAGGGTAAGGTAGACTCGAACTTTAATGTTTGAGAATTCGGTAATTGTCTATACATCACACCAAGGAAACACTGTACCGGCATCACAGCAAACTCGTGGAAACCTAGTAGAAAAGTGACAATGACCGCAATAATTGACAGGAAACATCCATAAATCGACATAAAGTTCCTTCAAAAGAAGCGTCTTGCTTTGGTATAGATCTTGTCACGGTCCTTGACGAGTAGGCAAACATGTGAGAAATTACAGTGTTTGCACGAGAATCAAATGTCGAATAATTTCCGCAAAACGGCTTCACTGAAAAAAAAAAAAGAATTGTATAAAGCTACAAAGCAAAGGATTGTATACTAAAAAAATTTGGGAGCCTATCTGTGCTTAAATTTCTCCAGAGGCTTGCTTTAGATTTTCCATGTAATTTTTCTCGGGGCTTTCTTACAGACACATGTATAGAAAATTTAAAAAAGTGGTTCTAGGTCTTCTAGCGCATGAAACGCCCTCAATTTTTTTCAGCAGAGTCCTTAGGAGTGAAGCTTTAGTTTACAATTCATTTCTTCTTTTAGAATAGCCGTTCTACGGAAATTATTCGGCATTAGATTCTCATACAAACACTGTAATTTCTCACCCGTTTGCCTACTCGTCAAGATGGCGTCGAAAACCGTGACAAGGTCTATTATATTCCCGCCTCAAGAGATCAGCCTATTTATATGGCTCTTGATTCCCTTTGGTCCAAGTGCATAGTATAGCGTTTTTGATGATCCTTCGATTTTCTTAGAAGTAGCGACGCACATCAGTAGTCCTCTTTAAGTAGGGGGACCTTTAAGATTGACGCAGAAGTTCCTTTGTTTTTTCAACACCGCTCCTTAAAGGTACGGAATATGAGCTTTGTTCCTTGCTTTTCTTTTTCTTTTCTCACACCAAACTTCTTTACATACCTATCATTTGATGGGTGCAAATAACAGGTTTATAGCACTTCTAATCCCGGGGGGGAGGGGGGGACGGTAAGTTTGGGTAGAGGTATGCTTTAGTGCAAATAACTAATTGATGGTACCACACATCATTGCCAACCCACGCACTCTTTTTAAGGATTCCGTTGCAAAAAGACACCCTGTTCAAAATGCTCAATAGTTATAAATTTAAATTCACAATGGGAGTCCCCAACTCCCAAACATCCCAGGCTAAGATAAGTTATGGGAAGAGGGAAACCTGGAGGCGGAATAGGAGTGGGAGCTAATAGGTGCAAAAGTGAACTATCACTGCTGCAGGGAGGGAGAGTGGGGTGACAACCTGGTCTCCTCTGTCCTTTTTAACAAAAAGAGGAATAAGGACAGCACGGGACTTTTGCAGAATGCCAAGTGGCCATTGCACACCGAATGAATTCTACATTTAGTGATTAGGGTTAAGGAAACTGAGTGAATCGAGTGTCAGGTCCTGTCCCGTACCCAGTCTCCTTCTCGGCATGAACCCTTGCACCTGTTCACCAGTCACTCACGTGTCACTCACATAATTTTCGTGTTCCCCTCTGTGCAAAAAAAAGAAGCACCTGAGGGGGACGCAGTTTCAGGTCAGTTTTCCAAGGAGTGACCCTGGGCACCTCATTCACTCAGTTTCCTAGCCCTAATCACTAGACTTCAGAAACATAATTTTGGCATTTGGTGGCCATTCAGCATTATGATGCAAAATACTGCTGCCTTAAGCAGGATAAAAGAGGCTTATTAATAATAAACTCATAATTACTATGCACAACTGGTTCCTCTATGGAACTACAGGGGCACAGGAATTTAGATACACAGTTCGCACAGGGATAGAGGGATGCCTGTGCATGATGTTCCCCTGTGAGTATAGCAAAATTGCATACCCAGTTTAAGACTCAAAACCTTGAAAACCAGCAGCTAGTGCATAGCCGTTTAAGACAAAATAATGAGGAACTGCTTACCAGGAAAAAAGATGTTCATTACTAGATTATTTGGAACACGAATACAGAATAAAAATAAGCAGAATGTCACCTAACAAAATATTCGTGTTTCTAATAAACATGCTAAAATACAAAAACTAATAGCAAAACATATATTCGAATGCTTTGAAAAAAGGAAAGGGGAAGACGGCAAAAAGTAAATACTCTAGGATTTAATTAATAATTAATAACTTATTGGCCATATATGGTTAGGAATTTTTGGTTGTTTGTAATTTTTGTTATTTGGAAATAGTTGATATACCATTTATTGTATAAGACTCCAAATAAATAAAATATGTATGTATGTAGGAACTGCAATCCCACCCCACCCTCCCCCCGAACCCCTGGGGCTATTCTAAAGCTGGAAACCCCCAAAATAAATACATGTAGCATGCTAGACTTTCAGACTTCTTCTTCAACGCTTTCTTCCGCACACCAGGCAGAATTTTTTATTCTAGGAGTGTTGTATTCGATTTTCCCATTTGTTCACAATTGAGTTTGGGTACATGACATTAATTTCACACATGCAGTGAAGCTCCCCTGCTAACTGCAGTTTCAATGGGGTTTTCGATTTCTTCATCTTTGGAAGACAATGTGGCGTCCGCCATTTTGTTTACATACAGTCCTCAGGCTCCTCAGGCTACCCCAACCTCGTTCCCAGGGTTTTTCCCTTCTTGTGGGGGCGCCCCCCACGAGAAGGGAAAAGCTCTGGGAACGAGGTTGAGGCTACCCATACCCAGTTCTTGTAATTAATTACCACGTCCACATGATACCCATTCAAAGGGTAAAAATATGAGTTTTACTAGAAAGATGTTTAGAATTTTAACCAAGAGAATTTTAACTTGTTTATTAAAGAAGGGTTATTCAGCATTTTGGTTCAAAATAGCCCAAAAGTTACCAAAAAAGTGCTAGTTTTCTGAAAAGTTGCTAGAAGTTGCTCTCTGACAAAAAAGTTGCTCAAAATCCTAAAAGTTGCTAAAAAGTTGCCGAGCAGAATCTGGAAAGGCCTACAGCTGCTCTTTTGCAAACTGATAAAACAGCATGAAAGATTTGTTGCTGCAGAATCCATTCCTATACTTTTGAACACTTCCAGTAAAATACATAACACTGACAGAAGGAAGATTCTGTTCTTCCACTGTTGTTATCAATGAATTATTATCTCTTTGACTTGACTGTTTGAGCGGCAATGATAAGGTGAGATTTGCAATTATAGCAGTGCTAAATTAGTCTTTTAAAATATGTGATTTTTCGCCAATGACTACCGTATCAACTTAGCATTCACCACTTGCCAGAATACGTTTCGATTAGCCGCCTTCATTGCAAACCGCTTGAATTTCATGTAAAATGCAACACAACAACACCATTGACAGATGCCTTAATTAGGGGGTGACAGATGACTCATGAACTAAATAATGCATCAGACGTTCTTTTTTCATTTGATCACAGGTTAGAGAGAAAATGCCTTGATCTTTTATCACATTCTCTCAACACATTCTTAAATAAGGAAATGTATAGAGATCAGTTTGGAGAATTTGTATGTGGATATAATCCTAAGGCTTAAAGGGTTAATGGCTGGTTACTCATATTTCTACCTATCATGGGCACTACTTCAGGCACTTCTAATGCCCCAAAATTATCACTGCATGTACAACAGGTTATTAAATAACACCGTGCAAATTTTCTATAGTGGCATTAATTATGCACTTTAATTAATGCATACTAATGTATTTCTCCAGTGTTTTGGGCACCACTCCCATATAAGGGATTCCAAGCTTTTTCACTGCCCTGGCACTGATACACTTTAAGTCCAGTTTTCTTCTCTCTGAAAGCATCATGCGAGCTTCATCAGTTTCAGCCATGTCCATGGGTGTTTTACCATCATTGTTGACAAAATCAATATGGGCACCACCATTAAACAAAACTTCCAAGATGTGAGGTAAAAAGTGGACGCTGTCTTTCCTTATGACAGCTAAGTGAAGTGGAGTATCTCCATTGCTGTTAATGGAATTAATATTGACTCCTGCCTTCAAAAGAAGCTTCATTGCATCGGTGTAGTGATCTATCACACACTTATGCAAAAGTGTATTTCCATGAATATCTCTAGGATTTAAGTTACAAACAGTCTTCAAAAATAGATGAGATACCCTTGAGACTTTGCCATCTTCACCACAGTTTAACTTACTGACAATCAAAACAAGTTTCATTAAGTATTCATGCTCATGTTTTCCCACATGGCCATTATTACTATAAGCTCTTGGAAGAGGTGTCAATGCTGACCTGTTACACAAATTGGATTCTCCAGCAGTAAAAAGTGCACAAATGATTTCATCAGCATTATGACGAGCATGCTGAGCATAGTGAAGGGCTGTATCACCATTTCGATCTTGTAGATCTACTTTTGCTCCATGCTCAATAAGCAAAGTCACAAGTTTCAAGTCGCCACGCAATGTCGCCTGCATCAGAAGGGTCTGGTCATGCTCTTTCCTTGCATTGACATCAGCTCCAATTTTAATCAGGGAACTCAAAATCTCAAATGCAGTTCCGTCAACACCACGCTTCACAGCATACTGAAGGCATGTTTGACCATATTTGTCCTGAAGACCTACTTTAGCTCCATTTTGAAGAAGATAGCTTATTGTTTCAACATTTTGACATTTACAAGCTAACATCAAAGGGGTGAGGTTGTCATCAGCACGCTGCGCATTAACATCTGCCCCATTATTAATCAAACAACTTACGACACGGAAATGACAGATGTTTCCGAACTTAGAAAAATAGTGAAGGGCTGTATAACCTTTTTTGTCTTGTAAATTTGCATCAGCACCTTGAGCACTAAGAAACGTTACTGCAGCGAGGTGGTTATATCGAGTGGCCATCATTAGCGGGGTGTAACCCTTGAAATTGGTCACTGCATTGATGTCAGCTCCATTTTTAGTCAAGCACCTCAGTATCTCAACATCTTCATTAACAGCAGCGACAAATAAAGGTGTGCAACCTCCGAATGAAACAGAGTGAAATGGATAAGCTTTAGAAACATAATTGAAATCTCCTCGACCTTCAATGTCTGCTCCAAACTTCAAAAGCACTTTCACACATTCAAGGTTTCCACTTTGAACAGCAACTATCAACGGTGTGACTGTGTAACCTTTGGTGTTTGTAATTGCATTCATATCAGCTCCATTGTCTAGCAGGCAACTCAAAATCTCGACATTTCCACTGGAAGCAGCGACAAATAAAGGTATACATCCTTCGTACTGACATACATGTACACTTCCTTTGGTAATGTGTTTGAACATGTCATCTCGACCGTCAATGTCTGCTCCATACTTCAGAAGCACTTTCACACAATCGAGATTTCCATTTTGAACTGCAACTACTAAAGGAGTGACTTGTGGCTTTTCTTTTCCAGGTAACGAACAGGGATCAGCAATGTACTGCTTATCTAATACATAAATTCTTTGTGTACAATCCAACTTGTGAAGAACCTTACCAAGAGACACAGCATCTCCACGTTTTACAGCTTCAAAGACTTTTTGTTTTGGATCACTGTTTACCTTTGTCAACCGGAAGCAAGAGAGAAGCTTGCGCGCCATAGTGAGGATCAGTTACTGTCTATACATGTAATTCTCTCCTATAACTTTAGCAATTCTTTTCTCACTGTCTTCTCTCCACCAATTAATTTTCCCATTTCAGGAACAGACTGTTTCGATTCAGCTGTGATCATGTAGACTCGTACCCAGTCGCTATTTGAGTGTTTTTTGGGCTGAGAGAAGATTGGGGATTAGATTGAGGCGCGCGGGAAAGTCTGTGGCAAGAGAAAGGTTGCAGCTCACAAGCTGAAACTTGGCAAGTGAAAAATATGCTGAGCTGATGCAGGAACCATGAAGGATTAGATTTGACTTTTTCGTAGTTTCCTTGGCAACATGTCATGAATTATTGAATACGATCTTCAAATTTCAGTTTTGCCCCATTTACCTAAAATTCGCTTATTAGATTTTCCTATAAACTTGCACACGGCTTACTATAATTAATCATTACCATTTGAAACCTATTTGACCAGATTTTAACAGACGGGTTTTAAGATAATCAATAATATAATTGTACTGTTATTATTAAATGTGTCACAAAATACGTCTGTTCACCTTCCAAGTTCTCATTATTCAAAATAAGGTAAAAGGAAAAATTCTGCCAAATATCACAAAATTTTAAGGAGTAGATATTTAGAAATCGTCTTGGGTGTACTATTGCGTTTTTGCCGCCGTCTTTGTTTGTCTAATTTAAAACACGCGCCGTCACACGAGTTATCGCAAAACTGTGTTCAGCCAGTCGTTCAGCCACCTTAAGAGAGAGAGTTGACTTTATTTTATTAATCACTCCATGTTTTATCACTCCACTCCATGTTTTACCACTACTCCGGCCAGGAGCCGAAGTAATCGGTTCCTGCTCCAGTCCATTCCATATTTTATCATATGCCCCCCTTAATGCCCCCCAGGACCCTCCCTTTTGCGCATGTCTGTCTCTAGTCCTTCCGAACTGGTCGAAGAATGGTAAAAAGACTAAAATAAGACTAATACTATCTCAATTTGCTCAGTTTCTGGCTTTATTGAATAAAAAGAATACCGATACAACTATTTGACCGAGTAAGAGTAACATTAGCTGGAGAGTAGACAATAAGAAAGAAGTAATAATGAGTTATTGTCTAAGCAAAAGAAGAGTAATCTCAAAATATGTCGTAAACAGTATCTTCATCATGTAATGACCTTTGCGGAAAGTATTTTAAAACTTTCCGAAAAGGTTACAATAGTTCAGTATTACTTAGTTCCTCTAAGAAAACGTGTTGTAGTTAATCCAGTCTTTTCCGGTCAGGATAAGAACAAAATATAGGGGAAAAAAGAAAAAGCCTTTTAAACCGTCGTATCAAACCTCTTTTAACAATTTGTTACAAGAAGTTTGATACAACGGTCTTACTGTCTTATGTCTTCAATCTTTAGGGAACAGGTTCTGTATGAAAAAACAAACAAACATATTGAGCAAGGCATAGAAAGATGATCTGCCTTTTTTTATGAGTAGGTTGTTTAGTAAAGTTGATTTCATCTTTCAGAAAATTGTACAGGGGCCAAAGAAAAGTGAAAATAAACGCAAATGAAAACGTTCGATTTTTGTGATTGATTCCTATTTAAAAGACAGTGCATTTAAAGCAGTTAAAAGGGAAGCAAAGTTCTAAACAAGGTATATGAAGGGGGTACCATTTGTGATTTATACGAAAGCTATACGAAATGAGTACCTTTTTCGTGAAAAAGGGTAAGGGTAAGGGGTTGGACCTCGGGGCGGAGCCTCCCCGTATAAACATTTGTTGAGTAACCTCCCCCCGCCCCTTCAATCCCGGGCGATGGGGTCCTCAGGAGATTGAGGAGGCGATCTTTTAACAATAAGAGAAGTGATGGTGTATGATCGACTAGACATACTCTCAATCGAACAAAATTTTAAAGCCACAAAGGGCGCGATATTTACCAAGAGAAACTGAGGAAGGGTTGATCATAGGCTATAAAAACATGATTTGTTTCCCTCTTTTTTAATCAAAACGGGAGGTTTATCAAGTCAGCACATAGATATCGTAACTGATTGAGAGTACTTATACTCTGTCTCGCTGAAACAGTAAGAATAACCCATCACGTACGTAATAGCTGCAATGTTCATTGGGATCCAGACTAAGTTAACATTAATCATCTGTTAATGAATCGAAAAGATAACGAATCAATGACGTCATTTCTATGGTTGATTTACAATAACGCAGATAACTGTTTTGACGTCCATTATATTTCTGTTGAAGCTTCTCGAAAAATCGCGTGCACACGACCGACAAAAACAGTGAAATCGCAAAATTATTGTAAAAATTGTTTTAGACGCTAATTCACGTCCATACTACCATTTTGTCACCCGAAACTCTTCACTCATCCCAAAATATTCTTGATCCGGAGCTAAGCTCAAACACCTTTTTCCAAGTTTGAGGGCCGGGGTGGTGGAATTTGTTGACTGATGAATTGAAGTGAGGAGGCTATGGAGACTCTACTCTTGTAGGTCTTTATTTTTTCATACAACGTGGGAGGGCTTAAGCAGACGACCAATCACATCGCGAGTTGACCAATCGGGTCAATAACCAGAGTTTAATCCCGTCAAGTGACGTGATAAAACTAACTTGACTCTGAAGATGACTACCGCAACGGTTGTCAAAACGTCAGTCACTGTCAAGAACAGTCCTATTCACGACTACTATAGAACTACGTGTCAACCCTGGCTATTTAAGGTCCATTTTCCAACTTAAAGATGAGCATTTCTCCGATGGTCACCCTTCTACAGTAATATGGCCGCGGTGCTTGATGACACCGTGCATAATAAATAGCTTAACCTGCTCATCCAGTGCGCCGGTATTTTTAAGGCGACGGGAAAAATTTCGAAGTGGCACGCACGCACGCACGAGGGGAAAAAGGAGAGGAAGCGTTCAATCTCGACCCCAGAGCTCTTCTGCGCATGACGGCCAGGGAGGAAGAGGAGCTTACGCACACACTCCCGAATAAAGAGGAAGTGTCCTCCTTCTGGCCTATAAAATCTAAGCAAATAATGTAGCTGGCGCCCTTCCGCGCAGGCTAATAGCGGAGTTGATTTACAGCAGGACGTGTGCTTAACGCTGGACTAGCAAGGATTAGAAAAGAGAGGAAACAGGGAAGCAACGCATGCAAGAACAACAACAACAACGACAACATCACCAACGGCCATCATTATCTGAAACCGCCGCCTGGTTAGCTCAGTTGGGAGAGCGCCGGTCTGCTGAGCGGGAGGTCGCGGGTTCAAACCCCGGCCGGACCAACACTTAGGGTCTTAAAATAACTGAGAAGAAAGTGTTGTCTTTGTAATGACATCTGCAAATGGTTAGACTTTCTAGTCTTCTCGGATAAGGACGAAAAACCGTAGGTCCCGTCTCACAGCACTTTCACTGATCTGTTCTTGTGGGACGTAAAAGAACCCACACTACTGTTCGAAAAGAGAAGGGGGGTAGACCCCGGTGGTGTGGCCAACCTTTACGGGTTGTGGGATTGGGTAGGGATGGCACCTTGCATGGGACCTATGAGTCCCGTTCGTGCCTATTCCCTCTGGGCAGGCCTGTGTCCAGAAAAGCTTGTAAAACTAAAAAAAATCTAAAAGTTTATTGAGATTGAAGTCAATCAATATTTTAAACTTTATTTCCATGACAAAAACCGAAAAGTAACTGGTCAGTTTATCTGAGTACAACAACAACAACACTTTATTCACATTTCCATTACAGGGTTTGTCAAACTTATTGAATAATTAGTAACTTAACACGTAGAATATTCAATTACAATTTAAACTAAATATTATTACATAGAAGGAAATGCCTAGCGGCTAGATAACCGTAAGGTTTTCGAGCTAGCAACTAGTTCTTTGAAAGTAGTGTCGAATGTACAGGACATCACAATAACTAGACATACAAAACATCTTAAGACACACACCATAAAAAAAAGAAGAAGAAAGCACATAGATGGCAAAAAAAAGAAGAGAAAACAGTCATCATAGTACATGACGATATGATTAAAATAAAATAATTTCAGTAAGTTAATTGTTCGGCCAACAAGTATTCTTTTAATGTTTTAGGAAAGTTATAAGTTGAAAGGTCTTTTATATGGGTAGGGAGCTGTTGCCACAATTCGGTCGCCATAGCCGCTGTTGTTTGCTTTCCTATATTGGTCCTGGAACGTGGTTTGTAGAAGTTACTTTTTGAAGCATATCTCGTATTATATGTATGGACTTCACTTGCATAGCGAAAATGCTGATTAAAGATATTTGGTAATTTTTTAGAATGCCACTGATGAGTGAAGTTAAGAAGCTGTAGTTTATAGATATTAGTAACAGTAAGTAAATCCAATAAATTAAGTAATGGTAATGTACTGTCTGTATCTGGTCCAAACAAGGTGGCAAAGAACATAAGGCGGATAACATGATTTTGTTTTGTTTGGATTTTTTTAATTTGAGTAGTAAATGCACTGCCCCAGGAGGTTATCGCATAAGATATATAAGGATAGATCAGGTTATAGTATAATTGTTTAAGTTGTAAAAGGGAGGTGCAGTGTCTGAGTTTGCCAACAATTCCTGTGTTTCTAGAAATTCGAGTACATAAATAAGACACCTGATGTTTTCATGAAAGCGTGTCATCTATAAGTACGCCCAAATATTTTATGTAAGTTCTCTTTTCTAAGCCGTAGGTGGAGCCATCATTGTTAGTTAATTTTACATCCAATACCTTGCTCTATGGAAAGATTATAGACTTTAGTCATTGCCTCATAGATGTGATCTCCGGCCAACTTAAAGCACTTTGCAGGGACTCCTATACATGACTTATCAGTTGTTAGGTTCGTAATTAAGTCACGCACTTCATGCGAGTGAATATACCTAAACATAAAACTGTTTGGAAAATTTCTGGTAATATATCTTGTAGGATTAGAGTTAATATGATTTGGTAGTTGCGCTGATAAAGTTGGGCCTACATTAACAAAATATGTATTGAGCTGATTACATATGTTCAATTTAGATGTATAACATTTGTTGTTATAGACTATCTTACTTACTGTAGGGGAGTTTTTTCTCTTTCTATTTATTAATAAGTCAATCATTTTCCAAGTGGGGAGTGAGGGCAAGGGGCGGGGATTTGTCAAATTTTAAATCTTTTTTTATCAAATTCCCCAGGGTGGGAAACGAAAGGTCAATCAAAAGTGTCAAAAAAGCCCCCAAACCAGGGGACAAAATCTAAACAAACAATACTATAATACTATTTAAAACGAATAAAAGAACATTTCAAAAGTACGTTCTTACTACTTTTATTTAAGGTTTACGTAAGCTCCATTAAATTACTCGCTGTAATTAGGTATTTTCTCCCTCCACTAGCATCTCTTATTTTGAACAACAAAATCACTCCAGGAAGACTGACCGTGCTATTATAATATTAATGAAACGTACAATGCTTTATAACATCTGCTCAACAGGTCGGATCAGTGACCCGTAAAAAATCCTCTGACTTTCATGGTGGAATTCGATTTCAGTCGAGTTTTACAATCAGATGATCACTTGAAGATAAAAACAACTTTCTCAAAATAGACATTATCTGTGTAGATGACAGTTTAAAGTATCGAAATCTGGCGAATAAAACAAATAAAATCTCCAACAGCGTGACTTTCAGAACGCCTCGAGGGTCAGACTTGGTAACCGCTTCTGAATTGATACCTGCCGAAAGCGTAATATGAGGAGCTTTTGGGTCATTTTCACCATTTTGGTCAAACTTATCCAAAAGCTCCTCATATTCTCCTTTCCTCAATTTCTTGTTGCATTTGCGCATGGTAAGCTGTATTTTTCAGCTTCTAAGTTAACGCATGCGTGTATTTTGCTCTACCTGCATGTCTCTGCTTTTTGGCGCAATACTCATTCACGTCCCCAGAGCCACTCGGTTTAATTTGTAACCAACCACGTGAGCAAGAAACGAAGGGCTCTTGGGACGAGAATGCGCAATACTAGGAATGCTTCTGTCAGTCAAAGTCAAATGTCCCCGACCCTGGGGTCGCTTCGCACGATCAAAAGCCCGACATGGGGGATAGTCTCAGGCATCAAATCCCCGCCCCTTGCCGGAACCCCCCCGCGGGATTTACATTGATAGGTGCATTACTCTTTTCTCCCGGTTTTTGCAAATATCGAATTTGTTTTGCGATAACCCTTTATCGCATTGATATAGATTGCAAGAACATATATACTGTCAGATATGATGCCTGTTAAGAACGTCTCTTCCTAGTATTGCGCCAAAAATCAGAGACAGGTAGAGCAAAATGCACGCATGCGCTAACTTACAAGCTGAAAAATACAACTTACTATGCGCAAATGCGACAAGAAATTGAGGAAAGAAGAATATGAAGAGCTTTTGAATAATTTTGACCAAAATGGTGAAAATGATCCAAAAGCTCCTCATATTATACTTTCGGCATCTTAAGATTTTCCGTCAACTCGCATGAGAATACCAGTTCAAACAAACTTAATTTTGTGATACGTCATGAATAGAAATTGCAAATGACGGTCATTTGGTAATTTTAAGTTAACTAAGTCCAATGAATAGAAAGACACATCTTTATAGGCTAAGTATCAATCTGAAGTAAATATGATGATTCCAAAACTGCCGTGATGCGATATACCCTTTGTTTTGCAGATTATACGATTAGAACTTTTGAGTTCTTGGTTGGTTTACTTTGTATACACGGCCGTGGCTGGGATTTCTGTGATCTCCTGTGTCTACTTTAGCTATTTGGCTTGGCGATTCTTAAGGTTGATTTCCACTGACGCGTTTTTGGCTACGCACGTTAGGGACCAGTCATACTTTAAGTTGGAAGGGGGAGTGGAGGAGAAATTGTTTTTTATTCCAAATTTTTTCCAGACCCCCACTAATAGCACCCATGTTTTTTAGGTACCCCCCCTTCAATCATGTTAAAAGATTTAAGGGCCCCCCTATTTTATACATAATACCCAATGGTAATAACAAATAACATTTTCTTTACTTTACCGTTCACTGTCACTTCCGAATGTGCCAACTAACAACAGAGAAGCACTTCACACTAAACTGAGAAAGAGATTTCACCTAGAACCTCTCAAACAGCTTATAGAGCAAGCATAGATCAGTGATTGTGTTATTATTGAGATAAGACAAGCCATCGAAAGGTTAGAGGCCGACAGGACCGCTTCAAGGAGGAAAGAAGATAATAGCAAAAAACTTGTCAGTGACACAGACAGTGAGTCCACATCAACCTCATCTACAAATAATGATTCGGATGGTGAGGTTGCATAACATGACTTTATGCATGTAATCATTTCTTAAAATACCGATGAAATTGTTTCAGTGTTACACAATAATGGATGTTGTGTTGATGCACCTACTATTTGAGCATTAAATCTTTTTGTAAAAATGCTGATTAAATTGTTGAGTTGTAGTATTACACAATATAGGACTTTGTGTAAAACTGAATCAAAATCAGGTCCTTTAATACTCAAACATCATGCTGCTCAGTAGGGATGCTACTTAAAAGAAACTTGAAGACCCCCCCAAGGTCATCTTTTGGCATTTTAAGGCCCCCATATTCCATCCCAAAAAATTGAAGGCCCCCAATTTCTCCTCCTCCCCCCTCCAACTTAAATTATGACTGGTCCCTTAGCACACGAAAATTTTTATATCACGCAAATAAAATAGAGGCAAGATAAAAAGCACACGTGCTGAGCTTAAACGAGAAATTGAGCGAGCCAGTTCAACCACAGGTAGCCCAAGCTCGAAATATGAGCATCGGCGAGCATCGGCATCGTTGCGTAACATTTAAAATGTAAGGATTTGTATGGGAAAAAAACCTATCGTTTCGGTAACCTACGAAAATGAAAGGATTTCAATAAAAAACAGCTTACGTCACTTACAATGTGTGTTACGTCTCCCCTGTGTGGTCCACGGGCCGATTTATGACCGTTTTATTAGTTTTTATGTCAACGGTTTTCTCTCTATATAAAGGTTTACATAAAAACCCATAAAACGGCCATAAATCTGCCCGTGGACCACACAGGAGAGACGTAACACACATTGTAAGTAAGGTAAGCTGTGTTTATTGAAATCCTTTCATTTTCGTAGGTTACCGAAACGATAGGTTTCAGTTTCCCCTACAAATCCTTATATTTTGAATGTTACGCAACAATGCTGATGCTCATATTTCGAGCTTGGGCTACCTGTGGTTCAACCTTTACGCTTACGAGCGACCTTTCATGCATTGCCTCTATTTAATTTGCGAACGTAAATTTTACGCACGTACGCACGTAAAAATTATGCGACACTGGAAATCAACTCTTACGCATTCTATTTTTTCGGTTTTGGCGAAAATGAAACGAGAGAGTTCCTCGCCCCATTTTTCACGCGGTCTTTGACGCCTTCCTTCCTTTTTCTTTGCTTTTTCCCGTGATATTCGGGAAATCAAAAATTTACGCCATTGCGGCGGGTAACTGAGGAAATTGAAGTGTCTAGGTCGTTTAGATCAAGTGTAGTAACAAGTGTAATGCTTGTTTCTGGCCTTTTCAAAAAAATATGGCAGACAACAAACTTCCTCATTCCTCACCACGCACAAGGGAATATCCTGATGATCCAAAAAGAGAGGTCCTGGAAGCTGCAATATGGGGAGATGCTGAGTTACTTAATGAAGTTCTTGGAGAGTTGAACAGTGCAGAAAGAATTTCGGTGCTAGCAGTTCATAAATACCCGCAGCATTTCTCATTCTTGTCAGCTTTTCCTTATCATCTTCAAACAACACCGCTAATAAATGCTGTGGAAAATGAAAATCTAGATTGTTTGAAAGTACTTTTGAAGTACAAAGCAGACATAGAAGGACTAGGAGATTTATGTTTTCTAAACCGCCGTACACCTTATTTTCATTGGCAACTATGTACACCTTTGTGTGTTGCTGCTGCTTATGGAAATCTTGACATTTTGAGTTTCTTGCTTGAAAATGGAGCTGATATCAATGCAGCCATACGTACTGGTGGTCTCACCCCGCTGATGCTCGCTGTTCAAAAGTATCACAGTAACGCAGTAAACTATCTTCTTGAACAAGGGGCGGATGTAAACCTGCAAGACATGGCTGGTTATACAGCTCTGCACACTGCTGCTGCTTGTGGTAATTATAATGCCTTAAGGTCTTTAATTTATTATGGGGCTGATGTTAATGCACGGAACAGGTTCAATCGTACTCCTTTGATGTTGGCTTGTCAGGTTGTTAATAAGGAAGCAATAAACAACTTTATAAATGAGCATGATCATAAAAAGGTTTATGTTCGAAGATCACTGTGCCATTTTATACGTAGCAACCGCAACTCTTTTGATGCTGTAACTTTCCTTATTGATCAAGGGGCTGATGTAAACCTGCAAGACAATAATGGTCATTCAGCTTTGCACCATGCTGTAGCTGATTGTTTTTATGATAAATTTTCCTTTAAATGGTTGATTGTCAGTGAAGCTCATGTCACCTCTGATGACTACTGCCCCTGTAATTTGGTAACTTCCTGTCAAGATGATAATGTGAATGTAGTAGACTGTCTTGTTCAGAATGAAGCTAATATTGTGGATCTTCAAGACGAAGATGGGGAAACAGCCCTTTTCTTTGCTGTACGTAGCAACTGGACCTCTTTTGGCATATTAAGTTCTTTGGTTACAAAAGGAGCCAACCTTAACACAAGTAGAAATGACAAACGCACGCCTCTGATGGAAGCTAGTTCAAAGAATGATGAGAAACAAGTCACTTGGCTTATTGAACATGGAGCTGATGTGAATCTTCAAGATGAAGATGGTAACACAGCTCTTCACTTTGCTTGCAGGTCTCATGCCTCACTTGAGATTCTGAGTTGTTTGATTGAAAACGGGGCCAGTATCAATGCATGTACAAATTGTAAGGTCACCCCTCTAATGATGGCAGTTGAAAATTGTCACAAAGATGTAGTCTCTTTTCTAATTGAACATGAAGCTAATGTGGATCTTCAAGATGAAGATGGTGACACAGCTCTTCACTTTGCTTGCAATTCTGATCATGCCTCACTTGAGATTTTGAGTTGTTTGATTGAAAACGGGGCCAGTATCAATGCATGTACAGATTGTAAGATCACCCCTCTCATGATGGCAGTTCAAAATTGTCACAAATATGTAGTCTCTTATCTAATTGAACATGGAGCTAATGTGGATCTTCAAGATGAAGATGGTGATACAGCTCTGCACTATGTTGCATATCAAGAAAGCCGTGTGGACAAGACTGAAACTTTCTTGACACTCTCAACTGCTGGAGCGTCGTGTTTGTGTAAAAACAGTAAAGGATTAACACCCCTTCTTGTAGCCAGTGGTCAAGGCCTTACAGAAGTGGTAGAGTCTTTAATCCAGCAACCTGAGATGACAAAAGAGCAAAGAATTGATGCTTTAGAGCTACTTGGAGCATCTCTTGCTCTTGAGGATGGAGTTGCTGTTGAGGAAGGATTCGTATTCATCAAACGTGGCATGATAGAACGGTTTGCTGATCCTTCCAATCCTTTGTTGAAGTGCCAAATGGAACCTGTTGAAGCTTATCAGAATAGAAAAGAGAGTCAAACTCTTGAGGAGCTTGTTCAAGTTGAAGATGACGAAGATGCTGTAATCATGGAAAGCCTAGTTGTTAGAGAGAGAATCCTGGGAAGGAACATTGAAGATCTACTTGAACCAATTAGATTTATTGCTTCTTACTATGAAGATGATGATTTCCCTACTTCTGCAAGGCTGTACAGACATGCAATGAAAATAGCCCAGCACTGCAGTCAGTCAGCTGTGTGTGATTTAAGTAACATTACCAGTGTATTGGAAAACTGGTTGGAGAGTGATCTTCCCAAAGATGACGCATTTATTGAATTGCTTGACCAAACATTTATTGATCACAACCATGAGATTTTACAACGGAATTTGACAGAGAAGCAAGAGCAGTCCCTGTTTGATTCTTTACTGAGACTTGTTAAAATGATGGGCCAGTTTAACTGTTGTGAAGAGGAAGAACCTTCCAATGCAGCAATTTTGTTGAAAACTATTTGTAGATCAAATCCTCGAGATGGTGACATGAATACATTGTTACATCAGGTCGTCAGATCTCACTGCGGCAGTCCTTCACATTTATACCTTGAGGCAGTGAAGTTTCTTTTGAATGCAGGATTCAGTGCAAATTCCATCAACACCAGAGGGGAGACTCCACTTCACTTAGCTGTCACTTTATGTCCCGGAGATGAGAACATCCATCTTTTGACTGAAATGTTGGAGGTTTTGTTTAATGGAGGTGCTCATCATGATTTTGTCAACCATCATGGTAAAACACCCATGGACATGGCTGAAACTGATGAAGCTCGCATAATTCTTTCAGCGAGAAGAAAACTGGAGTTAAAGTGCATCAGTGCCAAAGCTGTAAAAAAATTTGGAATTCCTTATTTGGGGGTAGTACCCAAAACATTAGAGAAATACATTAGCATGCATTAAAAGGCTTGATTTATAAGGTAATTACAGCCAATTCTCTCTAAGACAAACACCTCTGGGACCGGCTCCAAAGTGTCCGTCTTAATGTCTGTGTTATAGAAAGTCAAATAAAAGAGAGTAAAGAAATGTACCGACCGACCCTGGGTGTCCACTTTACCGAGTATACGTCTTATGGAGGTGTCCATTAAGAGAGAGTCGACTCTGTATAGCTAGAAAGTTTGTAAAATCTTAGCTGAGCGAGTTGATGTACATTTATCACTTTATCTTATCTATGTATCAATACTTTACAATTCTTGTTAGTACCTCATGAGCTTTAATTTACTGATATGACAGTAAAATAAGAGTAATAATATAATAAATATTTATTTTCAAGGATGGAGGGGGGAACAAATATATCCACCACCCCCTTTCCCTTAATTAGGTGGGGGACCCCAGGTAGATGAGATACAGAGTAAGAGAAAAATTTTCTTATCCACTTGTCCCTCGAACAAGCACTATTATTTTTAAATTTGTTGTCCAAAACCCAAGAGTTCTTATCCAAAACGTTTTGCCAGGTTTCTAAGTCAAGGAGAGCTCCTAAAAACAAATGAAAGGGCCCCAGTATGGCAAAGTTGAATATTTACCTTTATTTTTGTCAAGTATGAGGTTTGCCTTTATGACTATAAGATTATTTTAAGTCTGCTGTAATTTCAAGTCAATTTTCAGATGTTTCCATATTTTTTCTACTTAAAAATGTGCTTGTCCCACAGACAAGTCAAGTCAAAGGTTTCCACGTCTGAACTAAATTTGTACCTGTCCTGGACAATCGGACATAGGTTTTAGCACACCCTGGGGTAACCTGCTTAGTTGAGGTAACCCGCCTGTCCATATAATCTCTCATTTTAATTTGATTACATTTACATGATATGTGGGGTGACCATATAAGAGATTATGGACAGGTGGGTTAAAGCGGGTTACCTCATGCACTTAGCTGGGGTCCCCCACCTCCATGTAAACAGGCCCTAAAATGAAACAAATTTACATTTTGGAACCCTATAACTACGGGATTTATTATGTAAACATTGATTTACGTCATCAGTATGGGATTCCGTCACTGAGGCGCAGATGTTCCTCCTGGCGAAACGTACCTAGCGGCAAAGAGCAAGGAGAAACAGTTGTATTTGCAGACCAAGATTTCAGATCTGTACACTTATATACACCTCCATTGGTTCATTTTAGAATTTCAGTTTATTTTATTTCATATCAGTTCATATGTTACGACAAAAGTACTGAGAAAACAGTTGGTAAGAAATTAATAGATGGATCAAAAAAGTGACATGGTTATACCTGCCAACTTTTTAAAATTTTATATAGGCATGACATTTTCATCCAGAGAGTGCCAGGATTTTTCCTAGGCAGAGTCTGATAATTTCCGAAGATGTCGACTAATAGTGTTCCGAAGAGTTCCATCTAACACAAACATGGGAATAACACTAAAGGAAGTAGGAACAAGGTTTCTTGTTGTTGTTGTTGTCTTCCCGTACGAACGACGCAACGCTACCGCAGCGCTGCAGCAGTTCACTTTTATGGTTGCACAGCGCTTAAGCGTCTGTAAAGCAGTGCTCGTGAGTCGCTAAAGCAGAGAACGTCACATTTCGTGCACTGCGAAAGCGCTGCAAAATTTTGCCACGGTAAAGCAGCGGTAAAGCAGCGCTGCGGGCCGCTGCTTAAAAGCTGCAATGAGACTTAGATATAAACATTGAAACCCCTCCATATGACAACCTGAATACAAGCGACGGTTGAGGCTGCATTATCGCTGCACAACGCTGCAGATACCAAATAAGGACTTAAAGATCTTCAAAATTAAAACCCTGGAGAGCAAACCCGTACGAAACTTGCAGCGCTGTACGGCGCCACAAAATAGCTGTACAGCTAAATTACAGCTGTTTAGCAGCATTTTAGAAGCCAAACAACAGCTTAATCCAAGTTGCAGCGGGATGCAAAAGCGCTGGTGCTGCCTTTGAAGCTCTCGGCAGCAGTTTTGCAACGCAGTTGCCGACTTTCAATAGCTGCAGTAACGCTACAATTCAGCTACGCTGGATCTGATAGCACAACGTTCTTGAGCGCTCATAACATGAACCGCCAGAAAAGCCTTTTACCACAGATTACGGCTTTCATAACGAGAAAACTTTGACTGTACCTCTAAGAAATGTGAGTAAGCTTGTACGCAGGGAAGATCACTTATTGAATAAACCTCCAAATTCTATGCTTTTGGAATAAAGATTTCAATAAATTTTATTCCGTGACTGGCGAGTGTGGGAATGTTATCGCTAATTCCCTGGAGACATTCTAGGCTGTAATCTAATTGGTCGGCACTTTTGCATCAGATCACATTACATCGGTGGACAAACATTTGCGACCGTTGAATGAAAGGCGCAAACATTCATACATTGTAAGTGTTTAGCATCTAGTTCAGTGTTTCGAGGTGGAAGTTCTGTTGATGTTTTTGGATGGAACAGCTTAAAGGTATTTGTAAACAACGGCACTGTTCAGTGAATTCTACGCGAAGTACCGACGAATCGAACCAGAGCAAGCAACACAGATACAAGAATCTGAGCTGGGGTACGCATGTATTTACAAGATTCAAACGTTCACGATGATGTACGTTCCTTAGTCCATTGTAAATTTAACGACGACCAAGGAAAAATTGGGTTGATTTATTTCATGAAAACAGTGACGGCAGATCGTGGATCATGGACAAAACGTCAAGGTGAGCGATGTTAGGCTGTTGCAACGAATCAAAACATCATTTGGCTGCTGTCCGTGCAAACTTTGTGTAGAACAATCGCTCTTATTCTCTTTATTTTAAAAAAAGATAAACTTCAATGTCGGCATGTTAATGGATGTTCTTACATTTAGATGAGTGACCGTGATTGCTGAATATTTACAAAGCGAGACTGTCGTAGATTTTTTATATGTCACCTGCTTTTGTAACGTGTACGCGTGAATACTAATAAAGTATCAGTTGCATTTTGTATTTCTTGTGGTTTTTACTCCGCTACTATAAGGCCTCTTGTCAACTCCTTTAATTACCATGTCTCATGATTATTTTATTGTTGAAGTCTGCATTTCTTTTTTTTGTGCAACTGTTCTTGGCAGCGCTTCACTAACGCTGCACAGCGCTGCATAAAAGCTGTTTATCGACCGTATGGCCTCGTGTGGCTATTTTTTTGCATCTTTACGGCAGCGCTCCTGCAGCTCTCAGTGTCGCTACCGCAGCGTTCACGCAGTCACAAAAATGCACTGCTGCAGCGAACGGAAAACAGCGTTCGTGCAACCTTTCTGCAGCGCTCGTTGCAGCGCTAATAAGTCGCTAAAGCAGCGCTGTTTTAACGTCTTCTGTATCGTACGGGTTGCATCCCAACCTCAACGTCATTGGCTATTTTCTTTGTTTTATTGTACAGTCAGTGTGGTGATTTAGTGGAATGTTTTCTCTCTCTCTATTGTAAGGGACTCCACTACCTGGGGGGGGGTTAGGGTATATAAATTAGAGAGCTTGGGTCCAGAATAGGGTATCATTTTCCAGAAAACTGATCAACTGGTTGAAGACTTTAGTCTAGACTAGGGAAACCGGGAATTGCCACTCAACAATATAAGAAAATCAGATTGGTTTTGTTTTTGCTGGACTGTGCTAGTGATCTACTGTAAGTACTAGTTTCTGGAAAGCAACTACTCTGGGATAGGTGGGGATTTGGGGAGTTTTGTCTAGTTTAGGGTAGCAAAATTCACTTGAACTAGCTCTGGTATAGGCTAAGGGTTCCAGGGTCACAGCGACACATCCCTACCCAAACATACATTCCTAAATTAACCCCCCCCCCCCAACCACAGGTTCCACTTGTGATAGATTAAATTATAATTATTATTTTTCCCACCAGTAAAAGCAAACACCTATTAAAAGGGACAATAGGAAATGTGAAATGGAAATGTAGGTGTGAAAGTGAGGAACAGCTCCCCCACAAACCTTTTCATTTGCTTGTAAACTGGCAGCCAACCGCGCACTTACAGCTTCATCAACAGAAGCAGGACAGGGCAGTCTGAGTTTTACACTGACCAGTATGTTGCGGGACTCGGTATCAATTGTTCTTTAATTTTTTCCCTTCCCAGTATGCCCTATGCTCTTTCAGTCCCCTGTTCCCAGGCTCCAAGAGGTCAAGAAATTAATGACACCTCCTCAGGGGTAAATGAGGTAAATGCAGTAAATGTAGAGGTAAGCCAGCTAAATTCTGTTAAGCAACAAGATGCAAATAGTAGTGACAGATAAATAAAATGAAATGGCAACATAAGATGGCCTTTCTTTTAATTTTGCGTCATTTATGACAGCAATGTGAAGGAATGACCAAACACTGACACTATCAGGAGACAATTTGGTAAAACGACTACTGTTATAACTATGGCCACCTAGACAATTAACCAATCACTGAAAATGAAAATCAGTGAAAGATGATTTTTAACTGAATTCTACCATGCAAGAATATTTATCCTAAATTATCAAAAATACGGTAAGCAATGGTTTAGTCTATGTATTATACACAAACAGAGTAAAATGCATCAAGAAATCGAAGTTTTGGTGTTACTTTGATGCTGTCTGTCAAGGTGACCAGTACCATAAATTATCAAGTTTTGTATTTTAGTACCCTGGAGGGTACTCCCAAAATAGCCTACATACCCTTTTCAGGCTTCAGGTATGTGAAAGGTAAGGCTGGGTTTTACAGGTTGAAGATACCGTATTTACTCGAATAGACACCGCCCTCAAATAGATGCCGCCCCTGAATAGATGCCGCATCTAAGGTGCAGCGTTTATTTGAGGAAATAATGATTTATAATAATTATTAAAGAAAAGTCTATTTCAAGTTTAAACCAGCAATGGAAATTTATTTTCTTTTAGAACAACATTATTTAGTTCAAAGTGACTGTACTTTTTTGCTCTTGTGTTAATAAGTTCTCTTTCAAGAATTTTTGCAACGCGTAAATTTCTGCTGTTAATGCAGAGATTTGTTACTGTTACCTAGTAAAAAATTACCATATGTAGTACGATATTTAGTACTGAATAAAGTGATTTTTGAATAAACGACGCCCCCGAATAGATGCCGCAGCTGGATCGTGAAAAATGAAATAAACGCCGCAGCGTCTATTCGAGTAAATATGGTAATGGTTGTGAAAAAGACAAGAAACTTTCTAGATCAGTGATTAAAACAGTTAAATGGGATGCTGCAGCAGTGTTCTACACATGTATGTGCATGGAACTGGGGCACCATTTGCTAACTAAAGGGAAACAAAAGGCATATGGAAGGGGTTCCTTTCATGTCAAAATTGTAAATACATTAAAAAAAAATTAGACCTTGGGATGAAGCCAGCTTCCAGTATAAAATTTTGTTCAGAACCCCCTGGGGATAGCAATAGACAGTAAAATCCACTAAATTAACATAAATTATTTGAAAGCATCAAACAATTCAACCTTAGTAGTAATTATAGTAATTATTACTAATATTGCACTCAACTTTGGGAAATTTTCTCCAAATCTTCCAAGGAGCAACCCCCTATGTTAACACTCTTAGAGCTGAGAATAGTGAAGAAAAAAATATTTCTATCATTAATAAATCATAATAAATTAAACTAAAAGCCCACTCACACCAAAGCTTAAACATGTTTAAAAGCTGTTTTAAAGTAGAGTAAATTAAACATGGCTTAAAATAGTTACCTTCTAAAACTGCTTAATGACTATAATTGGGTTGATTGCATTAAATTACCAAACAGAAGTTGAAATTTACTTGAATATTCAGCAGAGCAGCAGTTTTCTGTGTCTGTTTCCCATGTTTTAAAATGACCTTGTTTAATATTAACCTTTACTAACAGCCAGTGAGTCACGATATAAAAACACATATTTTTTCATCAATTCCTCTTGGCTTCTTTGAACTGGTTTCTTCCTAAATAGCATAAGAATGGCTAAAACTAAGTTTTCCAGCAAAAAGGGCATTACGTTTTTCCAACTAATCAGCTGTAATAAAACAGCTTGTTTAATTGTATTTGCACATGTAATCAGTCTGCAAGCCAAAATTTGGATTTATTTGCGAATCTATTTCCATCTTTCTCTCTTGCTCTCTTTTTTTCCTTTGCCTTTCTTCTTCATAAGCAGTTTTGAGTCACCCCCCGTACGAAACGCGCAGCGCTGTTGCAGCGCTGCAGAATGGCTTCAAGAAGCGCTGCAGAATAGCTGCAAAGAGGGTGGCTGCAGCAGTCGCAAATTTTGGCTGTTCGGGACAGCGCTATGAAGCCGTTTGAAAGCGATAAGCAGCGGTTTAGCAGCGGTGGAAAGGACACACAAAAACGCTGTCAGCTCTGCCAAATAGCTGCAAACGTGTACAAAAATTAAAAGAATTATGGCATTTGCCTAAACCGGCTTAGTAGCAGAGTAAAAACCACTAGAAAGTCAAAATGCAACTTATACTTTATTAGTATCCACGCGTATACGTTACAAAAGCACGTGACATAGAACAAGTCTGCAACAGTCTCGCTTTGTAAATATTTAGCAATCACGGTCACTCATCTGAATGTAAGAACAGCCATTAACATGCAGACATTGAAAATTATCTTTTTTAAAAATAAAGAGAATAACATCCATTGTTCTACATAAAGTTTACATGCACGGCCATTAGGCAAATGATATTTTGATTCGTTGCAACGGGCTAAGCTGGACATTGCTCACCTTGAAGTTTCGTCCATGATCCACGATCTTCTACACTTTTTTCATGAAAGAAATCAACCCAATTTTTACTTTGGTCGTCGTTAAATTTTACAATGGACTAAGGAACGAACATTACCACGAGCGTATAAGAATCTTGTGAGTGCGAACCCCATCTGACATTCTTGTATCTGTGTTGCTTGCTCTGGTTCGATTCGTCGATACTTAGCGTAGAAGTCATTGTTCAGCGCGTTGTTTGCAAATACGTTTGAGCTGTTCCATCCAAAAACTGCAACAGAACTTCCATCTCGAAACAGAACTAGATGCAAAAAAACTTAGAATGTTTGCGCCTTTCATTCAACGGTCGCAAATGTTCTGTGTTTGTCTAGAGATGTAATGGGATCTCATGCAAAAGGACCGACCAATTAGATCACGGCCTAGAATGTCTCCAGGGAATTAGCGATAACATTCCCACACTCCCCGGTCACGGAATGAAATTTATCGAAATCTTTATTCCGAAAGCATAGGATTTGGAGGTTTATTCAATAAGTGATCTTCTTTGCGCACAAGCTTACTCACATTTCTTAGAGGTACAGTCAAAGTTTTCGCGTTATAAAAGCCGTAATCTGTGCCAAGGCTTTATGTGGCGATTCATGTTATTGGCGCTCAAGAAAGTGAGATCGACCGCAGCTGAATTGTAGCGTTACTGCAGCTACTTCGCAGCGTTTGAAAGTCGGCAACTGCGCTGCAAAACCGCTGCCGAGAGCTTCAAAGAGCCTTCAAAGGCTGCACAGCGCTTTTGCATCCCGCTGAAACTTGAATGAAGCTTCTGTTTGGCTTCTAAAAGGCTGCTGAACAGCTGTGACCTCAGCTGTAATTTAGCTGTACAGCTATTTTGCAGCGATTTTGTGGCGCTGTACAGCGCTGCAAGTTTCGTAAGGGGGCCACTCTGTCATCTTTCTTTTGCATGGAATTGTGGCTGGCTCATTTTGTTTAATCTTGCCAATTATTCTCCCTCAATCAGTATCAATGGAACTAATACTTAAAGTAAGCAAAGAAATTACATGTACATAACAAAATCAGAGATCCGAGACAAACAAATAAAAACTATGTCTCCTGAGCATTATTTTTGAAGTTGCAAGCAGCAGGGATCAACTTTGAAAAACTGTTAGGCTGAACAGTTTTCAAAAACCCTAATTTCAATCTTTTTCAATCTTCTTGAGTTTTGCCCATCCGTGGCATCTGTTGTTTCTGTTATAATGTTATTTTAACCTTCCTTTAAAGTTTTAAGTGGTAGTTTTTATGTTTCTCTTAATTTAGCAGGCATTTTGTAATTTTCTAATTATTAATTGGCTGAATTTCGTGACACAGCTCCTTTAAACTAAAAGCTGAGCTGAGTGGCGGTCCAGGAAGGAAAATACACATTGTTCCATGATGGAAGAAAAACAATTAAAGCAGTTGTCAAAGGCTTCAACATGTTTAGTTGGTGTGAATGGGGCATAAGTTAATAAAGTTTAAACTTCTGTTTTGAAAGATTGACATGTATTGAGTCAAAGTAAAACCAATTAAGCAACAGAGGTCTACAAACTGTAAAAAACTGTTACGGTGGAACCAGGTTAATACAGACACTACGGGGACAATGGACAACTGTCTAGCCATAAGTGTCCGTATTATCCGGTGACTCAGCCAGGCAAAAACAGGACAGCTAGTACTTTTGATAGCTTACACCTGCCATTTCTGTCAGGTTTTCAGTGGTAAAATATTCAGTCAAAGAGGGTGCATGCTGCAGAAAGGAAGTCTGTGCATAAAGCAGGGTTGACGACAATGTACGAGTCAGAGTTTGTACGTCACTCGTGATACAGAAAAGTGTCCATTGTACTGTGCATGTCTTATTAACCTGCGTCCAAATTGTTCATTATTCCATATTATTATTCATTCAAAATATTTCCCCAATTCTGATTGGCTAAAACCACACATTTAATTCACCATAACCAGTTGCTGATGACCAAATTTGGAAGAATTTTGTGTTTAGCGAGGAAATGACATCAATAATGCAGCGTTCTTGCAGGTTAATGCACTGTTAACTGACAAGACCCTGGGATGAAGTTGAGTTGTTTTGGTTGTGAACTTGAAAAATGGCGGACATTTCACTTGTTTCAAGAGTAAGAACTAGGCAAAAAAATAGCTAAAAACATGGCAAGAACAGCAAGAAGACAAGCCGAGGGGCGACATCTGCTATTTGGAGAATATTTGCGGAGCTGGACAACCCTAAATGTGCACTATCGAGGATGAATTTAACATCGATGGATCGATGGAGGTAAGCATGTTTTAGCCATGTTTTTAAACTAGGAATTATTTTGAATGAATAATAAAACAATTATTAAATTTGGCTTTCGTAACATATGAAGAATTATGGAGATCTCAGAGGGTGTTATCCGCCTCGGCCTACGGCCTCAACGGATAACACCCTCCTCGATCTCTATAATTCTTCATAAGATACTCAGCCTCATTCATTAATTGTTAATTCAAAGTCATTTTTAGAGAAAATATAATTATGACCTTCTTGTCATATGACCTTCTTGTATTCCAATGTAGTTAACCACTTGAATTATGGATGAATTTTGCATGACACATGTACAGCTCCTTTAAGAGCTCATCAAAAAAAACATCTTATAACTTATTTTTATTTTAACTTGTTTTAAAACTTTTTATAGGCAAACCTATAAACAGCATATAAAGCCAATACTGATTGGTTGTAAATAACACTTCTATAAAACCAACAACATGTACATTTTTTTTGTACAACAAGAACATAATCTGATTTCTATAAAGTGCTCAAAATCAGCAGTCGCCTGGTCATCTGAGACGACCAGAACGAGATGACCAGAAACTTTAGTGGGCAACCAGTTTTTGGCAAAATCAAAAGCCTGGTAGCCTGAGGAAAAAATAGTGCACAGCACAGCCAAATCGGCACGGAATGGCACCCATGCAACTTACTTGGCAGTTTTCTATTGTTAATTTGCTGCAGCTGAGCATTTTCCTGATTTTCGAATATCCCAAGCTTTTACAAAATACTGACAGGTAGTGAAAATAAATTTAAGAGACAACATTACAATCATATAGGCAATGGAGATCCGAGATGCCATATAAATTTAAACATGCCGTAACTTGCATTGATATAGCATGGTCAGGTTATTGAATAAGATTGTGCAAATTTCCTTTTCAATGCATACTGATGTATTTCTCCAGTGTTTTGGGTACCACCCCCTGATAAGAGATTCCAAGCTTTTTGACAGCTTTGGCAGCAATACACTGTAATTCTAGTTTTCGTTTCTGTTCAGTAAGAATAATGCGAGCTTCAACAGTTTCAGCCATGTCCATGGGCGTTCTACCATCATTGTTGACAAAATCATGATGAGCACCTTCATCAATCAAAACCTGCAACATGTCGGTAATACGAATATGAGTCCCATTTGAGTAACAGTAGGGAGATATACACGCAATTGTGTGAAGTGCAGTATTTCCATTACTGTCAGTACTGCTTACATCGAATCCTGCATTTACAAGAAGCTTTGTTGCATCAGTGTAGGAAACATTGCAGTGATCAGTACAGTGAAATATGGCAAACATGTGCAACAAACTTTTCCCAGAAAGATCACAAGGATTTAACTTACAAAGAGTTTTCAAAAATGGTGACACACATGACAGTTTGCCAACTCTGCTGCAGTTTAACTTACTGATCATCCAAACAAGGTCCCTTAGGTAGTAAATGTATACCTGGCACTTAGCAGGATCCTGTTCTTTTTCCATCATCTTTCTATGCATCTCATGTTCAGAAACAATAACTATTTGGTCAAATGTTTTCACAAAAATATCATCTTTTACAAGATCATCAGACCATATCCACTGTAGACGCAAGATCACTGATCGTGAGAAAGGTAATACTTTTAGATTGAAATTCAGGGCTATTTTGATTACATTTCTGAGCAACAACAAAGAAAGATGAAGATTACTTCCGATTAAGTAATAAAAAGCAGCAGCTCTCATTTGTGGAAGTACTGCTAGACTGTTTGTTCCAAGGATTCTTTCTCTAATAATCAGGCTTTCCATGATGATAGCATCCCTGTTATGCTTTATCTCAGCAAGTTCCCCAAGGGTCTGACTCTCCTTTCTATTCTGATAAGCTTCAACAGGTTCCATTTGCTGTTTCAACAATGGATGGGAAGGATCAGCAAACCTTTCTCTCATGCCATGTTTGATGTACTCGAAACCTTCCTTCACATCATAAAATGGAAACTCCTTGTGCGGCGCTAAAGCAAGTGAAGCTCCAAGAAGCTCTAGCGCATCTATTTTTTGCTCTTTTGCTATTTCCGGTTGCTTTATTAAATGCTCTACCATTAAAACATTGCATTTATCACTAGCTCGCAGAAGAGGTGTCAATCCTGAATTGTCACGCAAATGGGATGCTCCAGCAGCTAAAAGTTTAGAAACCTCCTCGTGTTTAAACCCAAGGAAACACTTTTCATCTTTAAACATAGCATAGTGAAGGGCTGTGCGCCCAATTGAATCTTGAAGATCTATATAAGCGCCATGCTCAATAAGGAAAGTTATCATTCTGCAGTTACGTAACCCCTCGAGGTGGCCATCATCAAGGGTGTCCATTTATTTTTACCCCCTCTTGCATTAACATCAGCTCCATTTTTAATCAGGGAACTCACAATCTCAAGAGAAGTTTCAAATGTCCACACAGCATGGTGAAGAGCTGTAGCACCAGCTTTGGTTTGTAAATTCACATCTGCACCTTGATCAATAGGAAAGGTTACTGCATCACTGTGATTATAATTAATGGCCATCGTCAGCGGTGTGTTATAATTCTGACCGAAGTGTGTTACTACATTGATATCAGCTCCATTCTCAAGCAAGCACCTCAAAATCTCAACATTTCCATAAACAGCAGCAACAAATAAAGGTTGACAACCACTGAATGAAAGATGACGAAATTTATATCTAAAATGATTAAATTTAAAATCTCCTCGACCTTCAATGTCTGCTTCGTACTTGAGAAACACTTTGACACAATCCAGATTTCCATTTTCAACAGCAACTATAAGCGGTGTGACTTGCAACCCTTCTCTTTCAGGTAACGAAAAATCATCATTAATGAACTGCTTACTCAATATAGAAATCCTTTCAGAACAATTCAACTTAATTCTTAAGAACCTTATCAAGACGGACGGCATTTCCCGATTGTGCAGCTTCGAAGACCTTTTGTTTTGGATCACCACCGGGATGAACATCAGTTATTTTCCGCCGGAAACAAGAAAGAAGCTTATGTGCCATAGTGTGAATAAGCTTCTGTTTTGAGAAGAACTTTTAGTTGTTCCATCTCCACTCTGATTAAATTTTTCCCATAGCTTCTTTGGTATGCGGAACTTGAGAAGACCTTGGAACCCTGGGGACGAGGTTACCCCGATAGTTAGCTCCCAGTCTCCATCTCCATCGTGCCATCACAGGACACCCATCATTTGAAATTATATTAGAGAAAATCTTCAGAACAGAAAGGAAGACGCGGGGTTAGATAATTTCTTACCCTCCTATGATGACATTATAAAACCAGCCAGGGAAGATTCCAGTTCAAAATACATGATTTGACTAATTCATTTAATTGCCATCTTATTTTGTAAATTTATTGTATGGATTCTTCATTAATATTATTAATAAAGGCTGTCTTGCATCTCAACCCCCTCCCTATAACGGCCTGTACGGGAAGACTGCGCCCGAAAAGGGTACCTTTTTCAGTCTTCGGGTGTATGAAAGGGTAGGGATTTTACTCGCTGAAGTATACGAAGGAGTAAGGAAATCTGTCGTTTTGGCCTGTGAAAGGGCCCAAAGGGCTAACAGATGAATTTTATGCCGTTATAAAGTCGAGAAACGTTCTCTTTTTGTGATTGATTCCTATTTAAATTAAAGTGCATGTACAGCAGTTAAAAGTGATGCAAAGATCTAAACAAGGTTTGCGAAAGGGATACCATTTGTAAAAGCTATACGAAAGAGGTACCTTTTTTGTGAAAAATGGTCTATAAAAAGGTAAGGGCTTGGACCTCGGGGCGGAGCCTCCCCGTATAAAATTTTATTGAGTACCCCCTCCCCCCCCCGAGATCCCAACCTCAACATCATCGGCTATTTTCTTTGTTTTTGTAATGGTGATTTATTGGGACAAATTCCCTTCCTATCATGAACTCCAAGTGATAGAAACACACCTGTCCCTAGTTGTTCAAAAGGTGGATAGCGCTACCCACTGGATAAATTACTCTCCACCGGATAGCACAATTGGTTTTTGCAATAATTAGCCTCTGGATGGCAAGTCATCCGGTGGATAACGCTATCCAACGTTTGAAGAGGTTTGAAGAACCGGCCCTGATGGACAAATTATAGGAAACAGGAATGTAGGCACAAAAGTGAAGAACACCTCTTCCAGAAACCTATTGGTAAAATGTTGACCAACAGTTCACCAACAGCTTCACTAACTGTAACAGATCTCGGCCTCACATGTTCTCTTCCTCCCTTCCCATCATTAACTATGCTATTTCAATCCCCTGTTCCCAGGCCCCGAGAGGCCAAAAATGACACCTTCACAGGAGTAAATGAGGTGTTCTGAGAGAGAACAATGTACAAAAGTTTCTTGCCTCGGCAGAGAAGTTTGGAATATTAGATACGTTTTAAGACTCAAACTGTCCGTTTGAATAGCCTGCATGGAATGCCCCAAAAGGGGAAGGAGTGGGAAGGAATATACAAAAGAAGAAGGGGGGCCCTTCTACTCGCCTCAATCCCCTCCCTTTCTCTCTCCATTCCCCACTCCTTTAGACACCTTCAATACAGACCAGTTTGACACCAGGAGCTTCCTGTTTGACACATGACAATAGGTTATAGAGGCCTCAGCTACCAGAAGGGGAAATTCTGTTATAAGAAACAAGGCGCAAAAAGAGGCAACAAGAGACAAAATAAAATGGCACATTTTTCACATTTTTGTACTTTCTATTGTAAATAAAATGGCAATGAGAGACATGCTTTCTTTTAATTTCCTGTCACTGCTGATAGCAACATGAGGGACTGACCAAACAATGGTAGGAGGCATTATTTGTACAGAGCTACTACTGTAACTAAGGCTACCTAGAAAGAGTTGACCAATTAGTGAAAAATATGATTTTCATTGAAAGATGATTCTTAAACTGAATTCAACCGTGAGTGAATATTTATCATAATGATAAAAATATAATACGGTTAGCAATGGTTTGGTACTTAATACACAAAAAGACTGAAAAACTAACCAACAAAATGAATTAGTTTTCATGGTGTTACTTTGCTGCAGTCTGTTAGAGTGACCATGCAGAGAAATTTCTGTAAATCTTCTATTAAGCCCCCCACCCCCTCTCAAATAAGCACCCCCTTTTCAGGGGAGGAAAGTCAATAAGCCCCCCTTCCCTCCCTCTGTATATATTATAGAGTGTACAGAACAAAAATATTTCTATTATTAACTAATTATTAAATTAAACTAAAACCTCACTCACACCAAAGCTTAAACATTTTTAACAGCTGTTTAGTTAAACACAGTTTAAAATTGTTTCCTTCTACAAGTTGCTTAATGACTTGGGTTGATTGCAAAAAAACCGTTTCGTAATGGCCACCAAGTAGCGAAAAAATAACAACGTATTTTTCATCAAATCTCCTCTTTGGACTGGTTTTTGCTTAATTAGCTTAAGAATGGCTAAAACTGAGTTTTCCAACAAAAAGGACATTTTCCCAACTAATCAGATGTAATAAAACAGCTTTTTTGTTTTTTGTGCATGTGTGGAACGGTCAATTAAAACAAGTAAAGCAGTCGTTGGGCTAAGCATGTTTAGTTGGTGCAAATGGCGCATAAGTCAAGTTTAACCATCTGTTTATAAAGATTGACATTCAGTCAAAGTAAAATTAGCAACAGAGACAAACTTTCAAAAACTGATACAGTGGAACCAGGTTAATACAGCTCATTATATGTTTCTGGGAAACTGCCCACCTAAGCCATTAACACTTACTTCTCACTTAGGGCAAAATGTTCGCCTATGGGAGGGGTAGGTAGGTAGGTAGTTTCACAGAAACGTATCACACAGACACCAAGGACTTAAAGGAGACAACTAGTCATAGTGTCTGTATTATCCAGCAACTCAGCCAGGCAAGAACAGGACAGAACTTTTGATAGGTTACTTGCCATTTCTGCCATGTTTTCATTGTTAAGATATTCAGTTGAAGATAGTGCACAGAAAAGAAGTCTGTCTGTAAAGCAGGGTTAACGATTATAAAAGAGTCAGAGTTTGTGACTTGGGATACAAAAACACGTCCGTTGTAATGTCTTATTAACCAGTGTCCTTATTAAGTGGGTCATTTTTAGGGAAAATGTATGACCTTTTTGTCAAGACAAACAAAACTGTCCATAAAATATGGGTGTCTGTATTAAGCAGGTATCCGTAGAGTGGGGCTCTACGGTAGGTAACCAAATTAGGTGGCCAGTTTCAAATTATGGATAGATTTTACATGACAAACCTCCTTCAATAGCCCACAGGGTGCAAAGAAAGTCAATTTTACATCTACTAGCCCGAAAAAAGTTTTTCGCGAGCAAAATGAAAAAATATTAATTAACCCATTCGGCCCTGAACCGCCCGTAACCGCCCGTGCGGACCCACGCCCTTTCTACCCTTTGTGACGTCATCAGTTTTAACGGTCAAGGACAACTTTGTCCCCTAACTTGTGCGGAGTGAAGAGATCTTTCAAACCATACCAGAATGAGCAAAATTCAGTCAAGGACACCGGAGAAAGAGGCAAAAAACCATGTAACATTGACCTGAAAATCTCCATGAAAATCTTGTTCTATTGCTCACCTGCCTTTCCTTTCACCTAATCCTAAGATCCTAAAAGCTTTCCTAAAAACTATTCCACCAAAATAAAGCCTACTAAATGCCCAGCAAGAGAAAAAAAAAATGAGGCAAGAAAAACGAAAAAAGAGGGGAGGAGAGAAAGCGAAAAGTAAAAGTCAAGACTGCTGTGTCACTTTTAAACCCAAAAAACTCGAAATTTTGCTTTCTGCGCATCCCCGAACTTCGCAAGCTGATATTTTGCATCTGGATCAGAAGGCCGCCAAGTGTACAACCTCTAAACCGGTTTAGTAGTTTTAGCTCTTTATAGCACGACAGTGACCAGAAAACCACTCGACTAGCTTCAAAACGCGTTTTTCGGCAAAATCTCCAGGAGCGAATGGGTTAATTATTCCTTTCTTAATTACACTGTAAGTTAATAAATTACTGGCTATATTTCTTCATTACAACCAGCTGTAGTTTTTTTAAAAAAGCAACAAATAACCGTAAAAGTGTGAACTATAAGTAGACCTGGTAAGATACTCTTGACGCACTAGTACAATAATTCAGTGTTCACCTTTTGATTATATATGCCTTTGTCTTGAACGTCAACTGACAATGATGAAATAAGGAATTTAAGTGAAGCTAACGGAATGAAGGTCCAAATAACAGACAAACGTTTTTCTTTGAAAAAAATGCTAAAAATTACATATTACTGGTTAACCTCTTGTCAAAAAGGCCAAATACTCATGGTTCTGTAACGCTTTGAGCTCA